ATTTCTTCGCCGCTATTTCTTTCTGCCTGCCCTTTTAACATTTCTGCCTGCCATTATAATATAATTTCTAATTACATTTATTTGTTGATTGTATTTTTGGTGGCAATTAATTGTATGCTTATTTATTTATTGAGCATTTATTTATTTCTGTATTTATTTTTAAATATGGCAGAGTTGGTCCTCCATATACAGCTCTATCTACAGCATATTTACATGCATGAAATGTCCCTTTCATGTTGCCTTAACTGCTGTATGTCAAGTTACTGAGGAACAAATGGGGTAAATGTGTGTTCAGAGTAAACATTACATAGATGTCCAGTACCTTGTACGGGTGCCTTGACCCATTTATTTCTACTGTGTAGTTCTGCTCACTTTAGTACAGCTCAGTCCATAGATCTCTGATGGGTAACGTTTTTCTTTCTATCGTTTCTTCTTGTGCAAATGCTGCAAAGCTGCCTCTCTGACAGTCAATCTTACACATCTGCGACTCAGCACCTGTGTCTTACCTTAATACCTTTCCTGTCATAAGGCCCCTCTAGAAGTAGTGTTATCATTCTTCTATCTCCTATTAAGTGAGATCACATTGTACGATGTATTTCTAATATGAACTGTTTCACATGAAACACTAGTACTCTACATACTATTCTCACCAAACTGTGATAACTGTGATTAAATTCAGTGTAAACAAATGCCATATGTTGCCACCCCTAAAAAATTCCTGCCCCCCTCTTGCCACCCCATAAATATGTTTCTAGATCCGCCCCTGGTCAGAGGCATTATGCAGGTTTAAATGTCCTGTGCTCATTTCATTTCATTTCTTTTAAGTCATATAACAATATAACAGCGTGGTTGTTATACTTTACTGTTGTATAACTGTGATTTATATGATATGTATACACATGCATGAGGGGTTGAGGTTAACGTTTGCTTTCCTGCATAGAATGAAATATAATGGTGTCCTTACCTGCATAATTTATGCCTATTTTTTTTCTCCTCAGGTCTTGCACTCTCAGCGCATTAATGAGACTCCCCTGAAGCCATGGGTCATCATAGACATTTTTTATAAAAAGCATAGTATTTTTTATTATTACATTGTATTGTTATATTTGCATATTATTGCATGTTGTTATATTATTATACAATTATAGATTATATTATTGTATATCATGACATATTGCAACGCAGCCATTATTTATACAATTTAAGTAATGCATATTATTATAAGTAATGCATATTATTATAAATACTTATATAAGAATTTGCACTAACAGTGTTTAATTGTTAATGTTTACTATAACTACAATTTGTATAATAATAATTTGCAATACCTCCACTTTCCATTTCTCCATTGATGTTTCATTAAGACCGACTTATTAATAGGATTGAACATTTTGTATAAATACATACTATGTTATTGTAAGTAATTGCACTGCATTTTCATTGCGTCCATTTTTTATTTGTAACCATTTACCTACAAGCATTCAAACAGCACTGCACTGTTCTGTGCTACACTGTGTTCTCAAGTTTCACTACTTGCAAATAAACACTGAAAAGGATCTGATCGTTTGAGACCTCTTGCTTTTGGGTATGGATGCAAAACACACCTATGGCTAAAAAACAACCCACTTGTTAAATGTTTGCTTAGAGTGTATTGTTGATACAAAGAAGTTGTCAATTCCATATTGAGCATCAATCTTTTCTTTAATACAGTAATTCATAAACACCAGAATAAAGTGGTTGACTTTAAGGTGTGGAAGTCCAGTGTAGTATTTCACTTTTCCGGTGTCTTCCTTCAGGAAATCTTCATCCATTTTTCTCTGGCCAAGCTCACGTTTCAGGGTCCTGTTCTCCTCCAGCAGCCGGTTGATTTCAGCACGCCGGCGCTGACAGAAGTCACATTCTGTCAGCGGTGTCTGCTCAGCTCCATCCTCAGCTGGTGCTGGTGTCTCCACTATGGATAAAATAAGGACATCTTTTAGCTAATGTGCATCATGCAGCTGAAAAAGCCACAAAAGCTACATACGGTGTTGAATCTGCTGGCTCTGTAAGGCTTACCGGGTGGAACAAGGTCATCAATAGCTGTCTCATCCATCGCAGGTGTACTGTCAGTCCTTTGCCGTTTTCTCTTTTCCTGTCTCTCATAGCGTGCAGTCTGTGTGGCCTTTATCCAGTGTGGCCCAAGTGTAGTGATGGTGCCCAATCCGGATGTGAGGTGTACATTTCATTTGCTGGTTTTCCTGGTGACACAATTTAAAATTATTATCCACAGCAGCAGTGTTGAACACATATAGAACCATAATGTTATCAATGATCCTCAATATACACATTATTATATTGTATTATATGATTACATTACATTACAAGACAGCTGGTAAGCGCTAGGATCAGCAAAATTTGTAAGTGGTGCTATGACAGCTGTCAACCTCAGGGTTTTTTTTGAAAATGGAGAGGGATGTCCCTGTCATGGTAGGAACTGGCAGTGTGTTCTACCAAAGAGTATAAAATGCTATATCAAATGCTACATCAACCAACGACGATGAAAATGCTATATCAACAGTCTCTGGGCGCGCGTTCCTGCATGTACAGGTGCTGGTCATAAAATTAGAATATCATGAAAAAGTAGATTGATTTCAGTAATTCCATTTAAAAAGTGAAACTTGTATATTATATTCATACATTACATACAAACTCATATATTTCAGATGTTTATTTTGTTTAATTTTGATGATTACAAATTACAACAAATGAAAATCTCAAATTCATCATATCAGAAAATTAGAATATTGTGAAAAGGTTAAAAATTGATGGCCCCTGGTGCCACACTCTAATCAGCTAATTAACTCAAACCACCTGCAAAAGCCTTTAAATGGTCTTTCAGTCTAGTTCTATAGGCTACACAATCATGGGGAAGACTGCTGACTTGACAGTTGTCCAAAAGACGACCATCGACACCTTGCACAAGGAGGGCAAGACACAAAAGTTCATCGCTAAAGAGGCTGGCTGTTCACAGAGCTCAGTGTCCAAGCACATTAATAGAGAGGCGAAGGGAAGGAAAAGATGTGGTCGAAAAAAGTGTACAAGCAAGAGAGATAACTGCACCCTGGAGAGGATTGTGAAACAAAACCCCTTCAAAAATGTGGGGGAGATTCACAAAGAGTGGACTGCAGCTGGAGTGAGTGCTTCAAGAACCACCACACACAGACGTATGAAAGACATGGGTTTCTGCTGTCGCATTCCTTGTGTCAAGCCACTCTTGAACCACAGACAGCGCCAGAAGCGTCTTGCCTGGGCTAAAGAGAAACAGGACTGGACTGCTGGTGAGTGGTCCAAAGTCATGTTCTCTGATGAAAGTAAATTTTGCATTTCCTTTGGAAATCAAGGTCCCAGAGTCTGGAGGAAAAGAAGAGAGGCACTTCATCCACGTTGCTTGAAGTCCAGTGTAAAGTTTCCACAGTCAGTGATGGTTTGGGGTGCCATGTCATCTGCTGGTGTTGGTCCATTGTGTTTTCTGAGGTCCAGGGTCAACGCAGCCACATACCAGGAAGTTTTAGAGCACTTCATGCTTCCTGCAGCTGACCAACTTTTTGGAGATGCAGATTTCATTTTCCAACAGGACTTGGCACCTGCACACAGTGCCAAAGCTACCAGTACCTGGTTGAAGGACCATGGTATCCCTGTTCTTAATTGGCCAGCAAACTCTCCTGACCTTAACCCCATAGAAAATCTATGGGGTATTGTGAAGAAGAAGATGCAATACACCAGACCCAACAATTCAGAAGAGCTAAAAGCCACTATTAGAGCAACCTGGCCTATCATAACACCTGAGCAGTGCCACAGACTGATCGACTCCATGCCACGCCGCATTGCTGCAGTAATACAGGCCAAAGGAGGCCCAACTAAATACTGAGTGCTGTACATGCTCATACTTTTCATGTTCATACTTTTCAGTTGGCCAACATTTCTATAAATCCTTTGTTTTTATTGGTCTTCAGTAATATTCTAATTTTCTGATATGATGAATTTGAGATTTTCATTTGTTGTCATTTGTAATCATCAAAATTAAACAAAATAAACATCTGAAATATATGAGTTTGTATGTAATGTATGAATATAATATACAAGTTTCACTTTTTAAATGGAATTACTGAAATCGATCTATTTTTTCATGATATTCTAATTTTATGACCAGCACCTGTATGTGGTGCCACGGATGAAGGAAGGAAATACTGTAGGCTATAAAATAAAACCGTGCATCTTTAACCTACCAGAATGAAAATGCAGGGAACACACTCGCATTGACATCGGGATACTGTGGAAAGTTATGTTCTGTCGTCTTACAGCCGCGATCCAAGCTAGCCGACGACTCTTTGTTATCTGTGAAACTTGGTCTCCGTGTTTGCGCCTCCAGGCAGGAAAGCGGTGGAAAGTTATCCCATTTTGTAGGTTTTTCCCTCGGCGATCATGTGATGCGCTGTTACAGCCCACAATACTGCAACGGTTTACCATGGTTGAAATCAAGTTACGGTGAAATTAAACGACATAAAACACGGCTGAGAGGGAGAACAGTACGCGTTAGTCACAGGCAATAGTCTAAGGAAGCTGTAAAGTGCGCCGTCAACATGGCGACCACGCAAAGTGGTGACGTCACGACGATTCCATATTTTTTCAGGAAGAATTTGGGGAGTAAACATATACAAATAATTATTTCATTTTTAAAGAAAACTAAATTAGTTCATAGAATTAGATCATAGAGAGGGTGAATGTGTTTATGATATAGACGGGTGGAATACAAAGTTATGTATAAATATGTAGTTTTTTGTTTTCTTTTTTCTTTATCTTCCTTGGAAATTATGTATGTATACATATGTTTATTAGTAGATAATCCATACCAGAAAGTGGCGATAATGCTACTAAATGTTTGTTGCCAACCGCCAATAAATCCCAAGAAGAAGAAGAACGCGATGCCCAAAAACAGGGTCGCCTCCAGTTGGTGGCGGTAGAGAGCTACAACTGTCAGGTCAGGAAGAAGAAGACGCCCCCCGTAACGTCAACCGTTGGAGTCCACTTCCACGTCAGGTGATTTGTTTTTGGATTGAAGAGCAAAAACAAGTCAGTGATCCTGGAGGTTACATATTGTTAGACCTTCACGCGGACTCTGCGGAGGATCTGGGAACTAAAACGATGCGACGAGCAAATGATCCGCACAGTTCGTTTCTAGTGCTAGCTACGTAGCTAAGCTAGCTTCCCTGGTGGAGCCTGACAACTAAACTTAATGGAACACCTTGAGCAGACGAAACTGAGCATTAAAGTAAATGCAGCACCTTAGATGCAGCTCTGTCTGCTAGAGCCGGACCACTGAGCTAACATAGTTTACAGATCAGATTCTGCCACCTGAAGTGAATGCAAGACTTTAAAGAGAGCCCTAAGACCCCATGGTGTCGTGTTGACACGCAGACTGTAATCTGGGCTTCCGTAGTTTGAGCATAAAATGTGGCTGCAACAGAGACTGAAGGGCTTCCCGGGCTTGTTGTCCAGCAGCTGGGCGCGGAGGCTCCTCATCGGGCTGCTCCTCTTCCTCATCTTCTACTGGTACCTGGGGGCAGAGCGCAGGTGGAGTTTCCTGGGCGGCTCCTCGGTGCCCGGAGGAGCAGCAGGGGAATGCCTCCAGACTGAGATCCACATGTGGAGGTCTATCGTGGAGCGAGGAGAGGGGATCTACAAATCCCCCGAGGAGCCGCTTGACACACCTTTCGTGACCGGAAACGGCCATATTCTGATCGATATAGACTCTAACGGGTTGTGGGTGGCATCTTCCACGCAGCCCGGCTCTGCCCCGGTCCATCAGACCGAACACGCACCTAGGATCGGGGTTCATCTGATGGGCGAGCGGGCCGAGGCTCGGGCTACCATGCTGCGCTTCCGGAAGGGAGCCGTTCTCTCGGTCCGGTGCGCCTCACCCGCCGCGGTCCAGTCCCCAAGGGACTGCGTCTCCATCCGGGAGGAGTTTATCGCACATCGGAGCCGACCCAACGTATTCCTTCAACGGATCCACATCAACAACCCCTCAGACCGACCCGCTCCAGTGGAGATCTCAGCCAGCAGCCCGGCTCCAAAGAGCAGGTTCTCCTCCAGTACCGACATGGTGGGTGACGGGGAGGTGGAGCTTTCCTCCGGGACGGTGCAGGTGGAGAACAACCAGGTAGTGATGGTGGTGGTGGTCACCAGAAAGCTGAAGAGCAGGTTTCAGGTCCCTGCCAAATCTGAATACTCTGACAACATCCTGTCTGTGGTGTGGACCTCTGAGCCCATTGAGTCCTCCAAGCTGGAGGGGACTTTTAGTAAGCTGAGGGATGGAGCCAAGAAGGAGATGGAGGAGCTTGTCAGGGTGGATGTGAACGACCTGGTTCAGGACCACCAGCAGGCCTGGAATGACCTTTTCTTCTCAGGTGAGCTCAGCTCAACAGTTAAATCTGGGTTTAGTGATCTGAACCAATTAAATTCCGTTTATACCTATAGCACCAATTAACAACCCGTCATCTCAAGGCACTTTACAGTTCAGATCATCCAGTCAGATTGATTCAAAGTTTTCTATCTAAGGAAAACCAGTTGATTGCATCGACTCATTGACTCGAAGGTTATCTCTCAAACTAAGCATGCTTGTAGTGACAGTGGAGAGGAAAAACTGCCTTTTAATAGGAAGTAACCTCCAGCAGAACCAGGCTCAGTGTGAGCAGCCATCTGCTGAACCAAACAAGAAGCTGTCTCAAAGTCTCAGCTCATTAGTATGCTTTCAGTGGGCATCTTTCTAAAGGTCTTCTCAAAAAATGTTTAAATTATTGGAAGCTGTCTCTCATCTTCCAGAAAACAATTTTTTTTCCTGGTTCCCACTACTTCCATCCATCCATTTTACGCTTTAATCCCTGCTGGGGTGGCGAGGGGTGCTGGTGCTTATCTCCAGCAGTCTATTGGTTAGATCTATTGGTCCATCGCAGGGCAACACAGAGACAAACAAGACAAACAACAGCAGGGCTGAGCTCAATTTGTGGCAGTGGCAGCGTTGTGACAGTTCTGGTGGCTCGTTGTGGCTTGCCGTCTCTCACAAACAACCATTCATGCACACCAACTCGCACGCAAAGAGAAGTTAGAGAAGCCAATTAACCTAACAGTCAACCTAACAGTGTTTTTGGACTGTGAGAGGAAGCTGGAGTACCCGGAGAGAACCCACGCATTCTCACGGAGAACATGCAAATTCCATGCAAAAAGACCCCGGGCCAGGAATCGAACCTGGAACCTTCTTGGTTGCTACCCACTGCAGCACTGTGCGGCCCAGTTCCTACTACTTTTTAAATTAAATAATATGACAGTGTTGGACTAACAGATAGCAGACAACTTGCCGAAGAACTTGTTTCAATCCGAATGGTTTTTGTTATCAATCTAAAACTGAGGGGTAGAGCAGCCGATGTGCTGAATAGAAATTGAATCTTCTGGTAATGGAAAAGACGTCAGGATATTTTTTTCTTCTGAATCAGAAATGGGAATGGCTTTATCCTGGGGAAGAGGTCTACATATACAAATGGTAAAGGTTCTTTAGGAGGGGATATACAAAATTAAGGCAACATGATTTGGTCCTATTATAGTTTAATGTTACACAGAATAATTGCAATTCAATTTAATTCAGTTTATTTATATAGTATCAATTCACAACACAAGTCATCTCAAAGCACTCTAGAATTCAACCAGGTCATAAAAGTCAAATTGGTTCAAAGTTTTCTATCTAAGCAAAACCAGGTAATTGCATCGACTCATTGACTAAAATACAATCCCTCTCACTAAGCATGCTTGTAGCGACAGTGGAGAGGAAAAACTCCCTTTTAACAGGAAGAAACCTCCAGCAGAACCAGGCTCAGTGTGACCGACCATCTGCCGAGGCCGACTGGGGTTCAAGGAGACAGAAGCAGAGATACAAAAGAATTGCTCCATATTTTTCAAGGTATCATAGCAATGATGAAACATATAAATTAGTCCTGTCCCTTAAAAAGTATACTGCCTATATGTAAATGGGACTCTCCACAGTATCAGTGTTTTCCATCCAATCCTCCCACCATCATGGGGGAAAGCAAAGGATGCTAGGTCAGAGCTGTGTTGCTTTAATAAAAAAAACCTTTTGGTAATAAGACAACAGGTTAGCATATCTTTGCAGCAAAGTCATATATTCTATAATTCAGGGATCCAGAACAATCTCAGGGTTTCCTGCTTTTTATGTGATTCAGCTCCAAATGTTTCAGCCAAACTTCACAAAGTCGTAAACTTTAAGCCGACTTAACAGATTAATAATCTGCATCAAAGGGCTTTTAAGCTCAGTTTGAGTGGTCGGTGGCAGATGTGGGTGGTACATAGCCCCACTCAGTGAAATACTTCAAAAATCTGAATTTCAAGCCAATAGTATTTATTGGAATCCAGGTCAAGTCCTTAGTCATTTTGGCATAAAAATATTCATATTTTTTTAATGTTACAAAAGTAATGTCAGTCATTTAAAATGAATGTCAGTGTAATAACAAGAAGCGCCCACTCGCCCGAATATATATATTTGAAACAACAAAAGAAGAAAAACAACAAAAGTGCTTATATAAGAAATTCATGAAAAACTCGGAGTGAAAACAACAATTTTTTTAGTACAACATAACCTTAGAGGCATTAATGCTGATACTAGCACTTACATTTTTTAGTTTATAAACCTAAATATAATTGTTAACTAGGCTTATTAACTTTTTAACTTTTCAATTAGCTTTTTACCTTTTTTCTTAACTTTTTTCCAACTTAATTTACAATAGGTAATGTCATTTAAGGGCTCCTCTAATTGGTCAAATACCAAATTAAGATGTACAGCCATGTAGCAGGATCTTTGCTGAATGGCTGGATATAGATCTTGTGCTTCTAGACCAACAGCTTACCTTTATATATTTCCATCTACTCCATCCATTCTAAGTAACTTTACTTAGAGAAAACCAGGTTGTTTTAAACAAATAGGCATCATTGAGAGACATACTTTTATTTTCCATCTGCTGAGTTTGCCGTGTCATTTGGAGGTCGAGTAATAATACAGTAAATGGTACATTTTAATTTAATATATTGTTATATACTGTAACTGTTGATTTTTTTTTTTTAGGTTTTATAGCTCAAAAAATATTAAATCGCTGCTTGAGTAGACGTTTTAACAACTACTTTTTTACTCATTCCAAAAAAGTTATTTTAAAAATCCCTGGACTCTTTTTCCAAGTTTGAAGACGTTTCGCTTCACATCCAGGAAGCTTTTTCATTTTGAATGTCAGAAATAGAGTTGAGTTCCAGGCTTTATACAGCAGCCCAACAAAGCCTCGTTTTTGTTTTTTCAACATGAAAATTGAAACTGATTAACGGGTCCACTCCTTTGGAATGGAGGTCTTTTGTTAGCCTAAGCCTATAATGCTCCATACCTGTCTATGTCTCTGTAGTGGGGGTTGTCAGAGACATAGACAGATATGAGGCATTGCAGGTGGGCCTGTTGCTCCACTTCAATATGCATATTGTCTAAGCAAAAACAAGGTTTGTTCGGCTGCTATATAAAGCAACTCAGCTATTTCTGACATTTGAATTGAAAAAGGTTCCTGGATGGGAAGCAAAACGTCTTCACACTTAGAAACAAAGTCTAGTGGTTTGTTGTTGTTTTTCTTTTTTTTTACTTTTTTGGAATGACTGACTCGTATGACTGAAAATCTTCATCATACATTTTTGCTCTTACTTAGAGTAATTTATTTAAAGCCTACTTAAGTAAAAATAACATGAAGTAATGCTACTTTTACTTCAGTAGAATTTTTGGGTACTCTACCCACCTCTGGTTAGTGTTAATAAGAAGCAGCAAAGCTTATGGGTCAGTGGAACCCCTGAACAGAGCCATCATTTTTTTTAATGTATTCCGATTTTATAAAGACGTCTCAATGTACAGCTTCTGACTTTAAATAAACTAATTCCTGTCTAGATTAATTCTGTCTTTTTTTGTCAAATTAAGGTGTTGAAATGAGAAAGATCACGGACTCCCACACCCCGTCTGGCCGCACCGTGAACAACACCCTGTACTACATCCTGTCCTCATCCATGGCTCCCCTGCTGGACCGGCGGCTGAGTGGCGAAGAGCGCGCGCGTCTCGAGTCCAGCCTGAACTATGCCGATCACTGTTTCAGCGGCCATGCAACCATGCACGCTGAGAACCTGTGGCCTGAGCGGGTGAGCAGCACCGCCCAGATCCTGCAGCTGGTCACCCTGTGGACTCTGACCCTGCAGAAGAGAGGTTGCAAGGTGCTGGTGGCTGCTGGCGCCCATGGAGCCATGCAGGGCATGGTGCTCAGCTTTGGCGGCCTCCAGTTCACAGAGAACCACCTTCAGTTCCAGGCCGATCCAGACGTGCTGCACAACAGCTACGCCCTACGAGGGATCCACTACAACCGGGACCTGATCAACCTGGCCGTGCTGCTTGATGGGGAGGGGAAGCCCTTCCTGCATGTGTCGGTGAGGCAGCAGGAGACGCCGGTGAAGCTGTACGCCTGCGAGGCCGGCTGCCTGAACGAGCCGGTGGAACTGACGTCTGAGGTCAAAGGCCACACCTTCCCCGTCATGGTCACCCAGCCCATCACGCCGCTGCTCTACATCTCCACCGACCTGCGCCACTTGCAGGACCTGCGCCACACCCTGCACCTCAAGGCCATTTTGGCCCACGAGGAGCACATGGCAAACCGGTACCCCGGTCTTCCCTTCCTCTTCTGGTTCAGCGTGGCGTCGCTCATCACCCTCTTCCATCTCTTCCTGTTTAAACTCATCTACAATGAGTACTGTGGCCCCGGCGCCAAGCCGCTCTTCAGGAGCAAGGTATAAGCAGCGCCGACTGGACGAGCTCTCCTCCCATCTGCTCTCTTTGTGTCAAACGTTTCCTCTCTGTTTGCTCTCTCTGCGTGGCTCTCAGTTTGAGGTGTTTTTCTAAGTCATTTCCCATGTCGTCCGTAGCCTTACACACTGTCCCTTTTTCCTCTGTTGAACAATGATTTTGCAGCGTCTCTAAGGACTATAAGGTTTTTTTTCCTGCAACTGCATATGATGAAACCATCCAAGCTGAAACCTTTTTACCAGATTAGCTGAAGTTTACCATTTAGCTTCCAGCATCTCTTTAGCAATCGACCTGTTCACCTCCCATCTGAAAGTTTGATCACAGCCGAAGGAGAAAAGCACAAGTTTAGCATTTTTTTCTTTGTTTATATGTTCACATTATCCTGGACATCAACATCATCAAAGCGAAGAGCTGTCAGACCTTCTTTTAAAGAGGTCCTCGTGTAGTTTTCCAGATTTTCTGTGGCCTTATCTTCTTCTTTACTCATATTCTATAATTGATCTTAAGAAAGCCATTAGAACTGCAGCTCAGTTTGATTCCTGACTGGACTGGATCAGGACAAGGAGCTTAGCTGCAGTTCAGCACCAATGTCATAGAAAAATGTCCCCTAATTGGCCACTAGGAGGCACTGCAGGGTAAGTTGCACAGTTGTCTTCAATTGAATGGCAGTTTGTTTAAAATCCAAACCGGGACAACTTGGAGGAGAGGAATGCAGAGTTATTACCTCTGCCTGTGATGCGTCCGTCCGTCCGTCTGTCCATCGAGCTTGTAGATTCACAAACGGCTGCTCAGGTTTGTTCATAAAATCAGAACGTAGCAAAGAATTTGGTCCAACCAGGAACCAAAGAGCAGCTTCCCAGACAACAAAAACATTATCTCTCAATATTATTATATGTTGTCAGCATTAACTGTTCTACAGAGAACATCTTTATGGAACCAAAAGTTTCAGGCCACTAATATAGTTGGAAATAACAGGCCTCGGATATTCAATGTGATCCAGGAGTTCATGCAGGAACCTTCTGACTCTGGATATGAGCATTTCACAGTGGAGCCGCTTCCTCGCTGCCCGGGTAATGAGTTGAAGCTGTTTCTGGTCCAACCATCAGTAATAGGAACCAGAAGACATCTGGAGGATTATTCTGTTTGGGTGATGAGATGCAGCTCCAGGTTTAGACGATGGAACAGCTTTGTTTCTTCCATTCTAACTAGTCCATTAAGTTCTTTTAGGAGAGCTTAGAACCAAGCAGATGATCACTGGGTGGTCCCAGACAGACGAATGGACCTGCTGGACAGTGAGAGCTGAATGCATGGACGCTGCCGTCTCTTTGCCTGGACTCTTTCTGCTTTCTTTCTTGCATTTTTCATGATGTTTTATATTGAATCACATGATTAAATTAACAGAAACTCTCGGCTTTGGCTCCTTACTGCTTGCTTGTCTTAATCCACGGCTGCATATCTCTGTGTAATCCTGGGTGGGGGGTTCTGTGGTTGGTGAGGGGACTGCCTCTTCCCTCCAGGCTTTATCTGTTCTAACACTTCCCTCTGACTCCACCAGGTCTCCAGCAAAAGGGAAGACGACCACTTCGGCTCCTTGGATGTTTCGTAGGCATAGCTTCCGACCATGGTTGCTATTGTTGTGGACATATTTACATGTTGGGGGGGGGGGGGGGGGTGGGGGTTACATTTTCTGTCATTCAGCTCAGCTACTTTGTTTCATAACATCCGGCATGGTGGATTACCTCCTAGAAATCAGCTGCTGCTTCCTGCTGTGAAACACGACACCAGCGCTGCTGCTTTAAGAAAATACGTTATTTTTTTATTTAATTCTTCGGTAGAAAACCCTGTTGGTTAAACCCCATTAGGAGGGAAAATAATATTTGCAGTTTAGCTGTTAACTGCTCCACATCCGTTCCATGTGAAGATCGATTTAAAGAAATGAATTGTGAGGTCAGTGCAGATGTTTTGCAGCTTGTGATGAGGTCAGCATCTCTACACACCTTCCTCTGGCATTTCGGCTCTTACTGTTTGACCCAATGCTCCAGAAATCCTGCATTAGAACTGGCTTTGATGGATGCTTAATTAATCCATTAAAAAAATTCACAGTTTGCTTTCTAATATGCAGCTTTTTGAAAAAACATCAGACAGCTTGGAGGGTTTATTTCAGGCCCAGCTGCAAGCAAAGACCTGCATGTTTCTTCATCAACAGATCATCTGCTCTGAGTCAGCAGCTTTAGGGAAAAATCCTGCTGGAGCTAGAGCCCAGGCTATCTCAGAATTTCCAAAAATGCTGCTGGTAACAAAGTGCCTGATTACAATTTCAAAAGTTGTTTTTTTTTTTGACGTAGGCTTTCTTTTGTAAAGCATTACATACATCCCTTCACTGTTAGAGGACATTTTAGACCTGAAAGAATAAGGCAAACCAGAGCATTCATTGGCCGCATTTTCATCTATAAAGTTAACAAGCAGCCAAAGAAGAACTTTGAGTTTATGGATGCCTGGATTACTGTTAATCTGAAGGTTGAGACCAAAGTCTGGCTGCCAGGGAGGAAATGAAAGAGCTGAATCAAGCAGATAAAGATTTTTTCTTATCCTATCAAAGCAAGAAATGGATGTTAATGACTGCACTAATGTATTTAGTGTTTAACATATCTTAGGGCTGAAAGTCTGAACAAGACTAAAGAAGCTTGAAATGTTAAAAGCGACTCTCTGTTCTGACCCGTTTGGACTCCACTTCGTTTCTGCTGGTCAGTTATTAATGACACCGCTCCAGATGTTTATCTGGGGATCGCAGCCAATCAAGACCTACGCTCTGCTGCAGAGCCTGGCGCTTCGACTCTTATACACTGCATGATCTTCAACCAGTGTAGAGTTGTTTAGTTCGGGCCAATACCTCCCAGTAATTTAGAGGGAAACCAAACAGTTGGGGTAATAAAGCGTTCAGGTAAACAGATCCAACAGAGAAAGGTAATTATTAAACAGTTGCTGCTTTGGGGTCAGTGCAAACAGGCCCCAGACATGGAGTGCTTGTTTCCATCTGAACACATTTTGGCCTGAAGTCAGAGTCTGCAGCTTGGTGATGGAGAAGTTAGTTGTAGGTTTTTCCACCTTATTACTACTTTACCTTCTAAAACATTGCACTTAAAACATCAGCCACATTCTGGAGATAATGTCTGAATGCATGGCACCAAAATGTTAGCTAATTCATTTTCTGGTTCTATCATCATGCAGGTTTATATTTATTTTTCAGCCTTAGAGTGAAATAACCCAAACAGCAGAAGTCTCTAAAGTAATGAATGCTTCTCAAATGTGAAGAAGAAACTGAAAAGAAAGAGCAATGATTAGCTGTGGGTGGTTAGTGACTGTAGTTAAGACAAAGTCAATAGAAACATGAGGTCTGATGGGGCTCAGAGCATCAGGTGGCTGAAGTCTGCATTCCTGATTGGCCTGTTGGTTGTTTAATTTCTTCTTAGAGTTCATTTCAGAACCATGGCTGCATCCTCTTTAACTTCCCAGCATGTTTTTAAATACATCAGCAGCTTCTGATGCCTCTTTAACCTCCAATTAAACCTCGATTCACACCTGTTTTGTAATTGAAAGCTCATTTTTCCATCTTTTGACTTTTCTTTTCCGTTAGACTCAGCGTTTTCAGAACTTCGCATTTAACAGCTTTGACAAATGATGCTCTGTCTGATTTTTAAGCTTGAATTCATTTTTTTCCTCAAATTAAATCCTAAAGATTTCCAGGATTTAAAGCAAGACATCAGATTTATTAAGTTATGATTCTAGCTTTGGGAGAAGTTTCCTCTTACTGATGAAAATCCACTGATTATTAAGATAATTTAAGGTTCTCCTTTTCTTTCAGAGAAATTTTTCATTGAAAATAATCTTTGGGTGATTTTTGTTTCTTTCCAGACAATGTTAGAAACCATCAGTCTGTCCGTTGTTTTGTAAATTCCTTTTTTTTTTTTTTTTTTTCACTCTTTGTTTTTTCAAGATCTTTTTATGGTGGGTTTTTTTTTGCCTTGTTTTGTTCTTTTCTTTTTTGTGAACTACTGAGAATGCCTGAATGAAGAAAGATGTTAATTTATTGAACGTTTGTAATCATACCGACAATTTGTACTTGAAGTGTGCTTTGATTTGGATTTCTGTTGGGGAGAATAAATCAGTTCTTGGGAGGAGCGTGCCTTTGTGTTTTCACTGTTCGATGTCATTAAATGTTTAATTTAATCAAGTTTAATCCTCCTCTGATCCACATCTTCAAACCAGGTAGAAAGCTGTAACTTTTCCCATCTGTGCTGCTGGATCATAAACCAGGTTTAAGATGCTAAAAAATCCAGTAAAAGAAATTGAGAGGGCATATTTTTAAAGCTGTATTTAAGCTCAAAGAGGATGTTTATTGTGTGATCAGAACTTTAAGACAAAAACACAACAACAAAACAGAAAAATTTAAAAAGTGCAAGTACAGAAATGGTTCCTGTTGACAACTTCAACGTTTTTTTTCTTCAAACGTGAATAATTGAAGGTGCTTCCAGAAAGTAGCTTGCAGCATCACTCCATGCAATAAAGATTGCACTAAAACATCTCCAGTCGGATCTCCTGGTCAATCTGGAAACACTGAAAACCACTAGAACCTTCCAGATTTGGTTTTCTTCTTTGTCCAAACAGCCAACCCTTGGTGCTCCTAAAGTCCGTCCAAACATTCAGGTTTCTGGTCCAGCTGGACACGTTTGCTTTTCAAGCTCTTCTCCTGGTGGGTTCAATAATTTGGGGTCCAGTTAGAGCCTCCAGCTGTAGGTTCAATTACTGTTGCCCAAGAATTTTCCTTTGTCACCTTCTGGACCATTTGAAGAGCTCCAACCTCTGCAGTGATGGACCTCAGGAGGAGTTGCTGCTGCACAGCTCAATAATCCAGCAGCATAGATGGAAAGCTGTTTGTGTTTGCTGTTGTGGTCCTGACTGCAGAAACCAGATATATGTTTGATATCTTAAGGGTTTTTAAACTTCAGGCGGAGTTAAAATTAAGTTGTCCTTTCTTGCCAATTATTTTAGGATTTCTTTGCAGTTTAAAGGTCATCTAACAAACTGTCTGGTTTGAAAAGGGAAAACATTTTCCTGCTCTAAGGTTTTGCAATGATCACCATAATAATCCATTAATGTTTTTTCCTTTACTAACAGGAAACTGTCTGAGGATGAAGATGCTACGATATTTAGCAGCTTATTTCAGCCCAGTTCTCACCAGTTCCTATAGGAATCTTTATGAAATTATTAACAATAAACAAAAGGCTCCTAAATCACTGATTTGAAGTATTGTCCAAATATTTTTAGAGCTGAGGTATTTTTCGGATTCAGAACAAAATACGTTTCTGCCATGATGCTTGAAGATCTGATTTAAAGTTGATCCCATCTGTCAACATCGCACTGAGTCACACCTTTAGTTTAGTTTTATTAAAAGGCTCCAGAGAAACACATGCACTGTAAAAAGTGAACTCAACGTAAGTAGAATTGACCTAAATGTATATTTTTACTACATTAAATTAGGGCAGTAAATTGATTTACCAATGAAATAAGATTTCTCAATTTATCATCCATCGAATGCATTACATCATTATTAACTTGTTTTAGAGGCTAAAATCCTCGTTCCACTGGCAGATTGTTTTACCTGCCTCCTCAAAGGAAGGGCAGATACACTTTGCTTTTAACCAAAAAAGTTGAGAAAAAACGATACACTGGACTTTGTTTCCAAGTTTGAAGATGTCCTGCCTCCCAACCAGGAAGCTCTTTCAATTCAACATGTCAGAATTAGCATTTAGTTCAAGGCTTATGACCTGGATGACTGAGAATCTTCACCAGCACACCTCTTTCAACATTTTTTGCAACATGGTTTGTGTTGCTTATGACACAGACAGCAGAGACACAGGAGTCTGAATGATCATTTGCTCAGACAGGCTTCATATAGACAAAAACACTCAGGTACCTGACTGAAAAATGTTTAAAATGCAGTTTTAAAAAGTTTAAAGGAGCTTCAGAAAGGATGGAGAACTAATTCATAAAAAAATAAAATGTTTTTCTCCTTGGAAGAAAGACAACAATAATAAAGGTATAAACGGCTCGATCTTGTTTCTGTCCAAATGTCAGTGGATGCTGAACATGCCAGAATTAGAGGAACAGGCTATGATGTAGGGTAGCTTTATAATCATGTTTCTGGTTCTCATTTCAGAACAATTCTCAGGCTGAACGACCTGCTGTCCCAAAGGGACTCATAATAAACTGGAGGAGTTTAAGAGATTTGACTCACATTTTTTAATCACTGAAATGAAAACAGTAAACTACTTTTTGAACAAATCTACTGACTTTATTCAAGTGTTTTCTGTCAAAGAAAACCTTAAGAGAACTGTATCGAACATCATTCTACAGATAACCAACAAAAGAATCAACCAATCAGTCAGCAGAGCAGACCTGGCTTCAGTTCAACATGACTTTGGTAATGATTTGAGGAAAGAACCAACAGGCTCTATTTCTTCCTTTGTAATTCCCAGCCATGGTTAAGTGTCTTCGTCACTCTGCTCCAACAGCCACAGGCACTTATTGCAGTCAAGTTTGTGTGCATAGACTTTCATGTGAACACCTGAAAACATCCTGCGAGCTGGTTTAATTCAGAGCTGCACCAGCAGCTGACAGCATTTCCATTTCTTTCAGATACCAGAGAGAGAAGAAGACAGGAGCTGCAAAGGAAATATTAAAATCCGTCCAGATCTCCAGCTTTATATTGTGTCGTTATAGCCTTCCTGTCGAATCAGTAAATCAGTTTGGGTGTCCAATTTTCAGTCACAGTGTTATCAGTGTATCTGCAGTGAGGAGGATTGCATCAGAACTCCTCCTCAGAAACAGACCTTAAAAACCTGCAGCTGTTCCTCTAAGGTCCCCATGAAAAAGACGGTGTGATTATGTTCCTCTTCCTGTCTGTCTTTTTCTACCTTGTGTCACAGTTAAAGTGTAATAAAGTTTTGATTGAAGTTGCTCCAGTAGAACCCGCCCTGTAGGCCTGATTCACAGCTGTTGGGTGAAAAGCAGCAGTTCTACAGTCAGAAGGGGAAAACTGATCCAAGAGAAGGTGCTCCTGATTCATCTGATGCTTGAGGGCCTAATTATGGAGAGAGCTCAGCATCTATTCTGATCTATCTATGACAGGCCAACACACTGTCTGCTGCTGCTTCTCACAACATGCTGGTCTCTTACAGCAGTTCAAAACATGTTTATCCTATATCAGGGGGATTGCTGAGGAGTTTCCTGAATTGAGAAGACACTCCATGTTGATGCTGAACTCAGGAAAGGTGAAGAAATGATGCTCTTTACGTGTGTATGTGCAGAGTGGACTGGGTGTCGTATCCCATCTGCTGTACGTGGGTTTTCTCCATGTCCTCCAGCTTCCTCCTACAGTGAAAATCTAATTTAGTTGCTTCTCTCAGGTATGAATCAGGACCGTCATGGCTTCTTTGTGATGGAGGACGACTGGTCCTGGATGCTGCCAAGGTTTCTACAGACCAATGGAGATTGGCAGTAAGAATCTGGATGGGTGGTACAGCTACCACCAGCTGATTTAAATTGAACCGGTGCTCTGTCAGATGAGCATACCTGGTCAGACCAGCATACGCATAATCAAAACCCGTTTATCCCTTTAGTTTTGTACGAAAAATAGACTTTAAACTACCTCAAGGGGGCGTGTATCCCTTTAGTCATGTACAAAAAAGTATTGAATTACTTTCTTTTGGGTGTTTTTTTTTTAAGAGTACGGGGATGTGACCTTAAATTAGTTTTTTTTAGACACGACTAAAGGGATACACCCCCGTCGAGGTAGTTTAATCTATATTTTTCATACAAAACTAAAAGGATAAATACAAATCTGACGTTTTACGCATGCATGTTGACTATAGGTATGTCTCACAGAACACTGCTCCAAAGAATGAAGCAATGCTACGGTAATTTCATTCCATCGCTCTGTATGTCTAGTAGAAACTACAGTCCTGCTGCTGACCTGAAGCAGGAAGCCAATCTACAGGACAGAAACACGCTAGCAGAGCTACAGGGATCAGCCTAAACAAGACCAAGTCCCTCTGGCTGTCCCACAGCTTTTGATCCTGAAGCTGAGTGAAATGAGGAAATACTGAGTGATTCTCTAAGTTCGTGGAGAATATCCAAAGATCCTGAGTGAGCCTGAAGAGTCCAGTAACAACCAGGCTGTGTGTAACTGAGGTCTAACTGGGAGATGAGCTACGAGTCTTTGAGCATGCTGATCTGAGCGAAGATCTTCAGCGCGGGGCCCAGTTTGATGTTCATGGTTCCCATGAGGTGGTCCTCCTTCAGCAGCAGCAGAGCCTGACCGTCGATCTCCTGAGAGCGGAACTCCTCTGCGATCTCCAAACATCCTGAAAGCAGAAACGGACAACGGTAACCATGGAGACCAGCTGTGCACCAAAACCTTCCCAGCAGGAAGTTGCTTTCATGTCAGTCTACTGGCTCTGCCTGGAGTGTAAATATGAATTTATTATAGATCTCCAATCAAACCCAAAGGGTTAAATATACAGAGTTAAGATTATGATAAAAGGATGAAGGGATCTACAGTACGAGGGAAAAAAACAATATCTGGATTGATTTTTATTTTCAATCTATATCTATCGAGATTCAAATGATAATTTAATTTCATCTACACACTAAATATCTGTTTCATCCTATTTGAATGACGACACAGTTTGTCTTTCCGAACAGCATTCAGTGGATGAACCAACATTAGAGCAAATCCTCAGTCATCATCAAACTGTTCAAACGGTAATCAACCAATTTATACAATCTGTCCTTTTCCAAGGTTTACCATATTAAAGGAAAACATTACAAACCTCTGAGCTTTTATATAAATGGGAAAAACAAACATTTAGGATGAATCTACGGCAGCGAACTGAGACGGACAGGGTTCAAAGATCACATGAGAAAAATGAAACTCAGAAGAAGTTACAGCAGAACCAGAGGAATGAAGACCAATCAAATGAAAAGTTATGTTCATGTTGAATCAGAAAGCGTCCATCCGCATGTCAGTGACAGCTGCTCCCACCTGGCAGTGAGGAGATGAAGTCGTAGACCTCCTGGATGTTCCACCGACCCGGATCGCTGGACACAAAGCCGTGGGGTAGCAGGGGGAGATCAGAGGCCTGCAGCACCGCTGCCCGTGGCTCAGCAGGCAGCGGCGTTCCTTTATATCCAGACAGCTCTGGACATTGACTGGATTCCTCCTGAGCAGGATGGATAGAGTGACCAGCAGGGGGAGCACTCTGGCACACAGGAGGAGAGCAGACATGGATCATATAGCAGTAAGTATAAATAAAAACAGTGAAGTGTTTAACACTGATCATCCCCTGCTCACACTGTACATCCATCATGGCTGTAATGACAGAGCTCCCGCTGCCTCACCTTCTTTTTAGACTCTAAACTGGTTCTGTGGTTCCCATTCAACGCTCGCTTCTTCAGGTTCTCCAGACTGGTTTTGCGGTTTGGGAAGAGACCCATTCTCTTTGTGCATCCCACGTTGTAGCTACAGAGATAAACAGGAACACTCAGATATCTTTAATGGAAAAGCTGAATAATTCAAGATATCTTTAATTAATTTAGAGATATCTTAAAAGGAATTTCGTCGAAATTACAATTCAAGATATGTTTAAATTTGTTTTGCCTAGTCTTTATTTGCTTTTAAGATATCTATAATTTAGTTTTCACTAGTATATCATATACATATCTCCTATCCTAAAATATATTTAAGATATCATGAATTATGGTGGCATTTGAGATATCTTTAATTAGAATTATGACTAGTCAAAACTAAAATCGAGATATCTTGAAATTACTTTATCACTAGTTGTAATTTAATCGTAGATATCTGAAATGTGTATTTCAGATAGTTAGTAATTCATTCTAGATATCTTAAATTGACGTCTGCATACAAGTTAATGGTAAATCTGACGTCATTTCGAATAGTCAGAATGTAATTAGAGATTCCGAAAAGTTTTTAAAACAATCCACTGGACTTCCAAAGTATGAAGATGTTTCGCTTCCCCTCCAAGAACCTTTCTCAATTCAAATTTTAAATTGCGAGAATCTTCATCAGCGTAATTAGAGACATCTCAAATAGGTATTTTGACTACATAGTCAAAATATAATTAGAGATATCTTAAATCGCTAAAACATCAGTCATAAAACAATTTGAGATATCTTGAATGTAAAGATGGTACAACCGAATTTATGTAAAATCGGCTTGCCATACATCATCAGACTGGTGAATTGCAGCCTCACTGAAGCTTTGAGGCCGCTCTGATTTCTATTCATTAAAACATCGCTCCAATGCAGCTGCATCACGACTGTTATGGTTACAGAACAGTGCTGCTGCATTATGGGTAATTCTGGCACATGCGTAAACTCCCATCTGCTGTGCTGTGATTGGACTGGTCTGTTTTAGACCAGTGTTGGGGTCAGCTAAAAACAAATTACCTTCTTTAATTTAATTTGAAATACATTTTATTTTTGCTATTTTAAACTTTAAACAAAATTCCAATCATTTTCTTAATTTCACTGTTGCCTATTTGCATTTTAAAACAGAAATCAAACAATTACTTGCTTTGTGTTTTTATAATACCCACTCACCGCTTGGCGCACACTGTGGAACAGAACCTCTTGGATCTTTTGAAGATGTAGGCAAAGTCCACCTTCCCACACAGCTCGCAGGTCAACATGGGCTCCTGCTGGGCCTTTAACTCTAAAAGAACACACAGTCAGCAGAAGCACAACAAGCAGACAGGAAGAAACCTGGTTTTCCTAACACTGTACGGAATTGAAAGAAAAAGAAAAAAAACTGCAGCTGAAAGATGAAGGTGTAAATCTGACGGCTTCAAACACATCTCCCTGATGTTTGCCACAGACAAACCCAGCTCTATCAGCCTAATGCTACATTCAGAACGGACGCACAAGAGGCAGCAGAAGCAGCTGGTTTCCATGCAAAGTCAATGGTTGACGCGCATCAAGGTGCAGCAGAAGGTCCTGCAGTGCATCTGAGCAGCTGAAGCGGCACCTCATGAGCTACTGAGCATGCAAAAGCAGCAGATGCTGCAGTTGGAAAAATTTTACTTTTGCTTCTCGACGCACTGCATCAACCAATCAGAGAACCTGATCTAGGAGCTGGCAGGGAGACAGACACAGCACTGCTGATGCAGAGCGCTATGATCAATCCCCTTAAACAGTTTATTAACGCCTAAATTAACTTAAAATGTTGAAACCTGTGGTAAAGTAGATTTGCTTTAATTATTCTGGTGCCTGCAGTTTGAATTACGTATGTGAAAAATTCCTTCCAGCCGCTGCGAACAGTAGCAGAAAACCCCAAAGAGGAGCCCGGATGTCCAGGGACAGCGCACCGACATTGTACGGGGGTCTGAGCGGCTCCGACAATTATATTTTGAGGCAGGCTGGTAATCTGGATGAACTGACTGCACAGATGAAGTTTTAAAAACAAATGAAAACTACTTTTTACCCACTGAACACGGCAAATATAGCAAAGCCGCTCTCTGCCATTGAACACAGGAGCAGCTGAAGCATCAGATGCATCTGGAAACACTTGGCAGGATACTCCTGAGGTGCAACGGACCTTAATGTGAAAAAGCATCAAAAATTAAGCAGCAGGAGCTTATTTGCTGCTTCCAGCGCTTGCGTTCTTAACGTAGCATAATCTGCAGCCCACAAAAAAATCTGGCAAAGACGCTGGCATACGTTGGATAAGCTAACAAGGATATACAGCAAGTACATAGAGAAATTTCGAGCATGCTCAAAATGTCCTGTCCAGCATGTTAGAAGATGTCAGGCATACGCTGTCTAAATCGGGAAGATGTGACAGCGCCCTAAAGGGTTAAACTCTCAACCTCGCTCCAGGTGGCTGCTGCTGATGGTTCGGTTGTTCAAAGTTGAATAACACATTAAATATTTAAAGACAAAGTTGATTGATTGTCACTACCACCCATTTATTCAGAACCAGATCAAAAATAACCTTCAGCACCTCCCGGGGTGGAATCATAAATGTCATGAAGGAAAAAAGCTGAAATTCAGAGTGTCTAATAAATATCTAGAATTACTAAATCAAAGTTGAACTTTTCTTATTCTGTTGAAGCATCCTTTGCTTTGGGACTGTAGAATATATCCAGGCTTGTTTTTGGAAATACATTGACCCAATTCAAAAAGACGAAAAGAAATTGCACCCAGAACCAGATCATGATTTTAAGGTAAACATCAATCTCAGAGGGTACATGAATCTTGCCGTTAAGTGAAAAACAGAATACCTTTAGCAGACAAGCCTTCCATCTTTGATTCTGCTGCACGTCTCCTGAGGCTCTCTATGGAGAACGACGGACGCTCCACCTGCAGAAAAGGAACGGCTGTTTTTCTTTGTATACTTGACCAGTGGCAGCAGCGGTAAAATCTCGTTCATCACAATATATAAATAACAAAATGAATTTTGCTGACCCTTAATTTTTTTCCTATCATCTCCATCAGAATGGACTAAATAAAAGTAGAATATATACATATAAAACCATGTTTTTAACATTAAAAACATGTAATATCTGATCAGTTGTGGCTTTATTCATCTGGAATCTGATGACTGCGTATTTTATTTCTTTGCATTGAACAACCCTGAACACAGAAAATGTTGATTACTTGTTTAAAAAAAATACCATTTATCAATTAATCATTTTTTGTTAACTGTACCACAACAAAAATCTCCTGCCTGAATGAGTAAATAAACCAACATGGTTGGCTGCAAGGAGAGCGGAGACAGACGACCCTCTGAGTTTACTGAACAAACCTGCTGCTGACCAGGTTAGCTCTGCAGGGGTGTTACTATGGTGACTGAAAATCTGAAAACTCAGATTCCCATCTTTCAGGCTAAGAAAACTTAACTTAATACTTAGAAAATTAAAATATCAAGCCAAAAGTGTTATTGGAATCCAGGACAAGACCTTATTACCTTTGTAACATTCAAAAAAATTGGATATTTTGAAGGCAAAAATATGTCAATGTCATAAGAAGAAACACTAAATTGCCCGAATATATATCAAGAAAGAAAACAAAAGTGCTTCTATAAGAAATTCATAAAAAAAAAATTGAAATAAACTTTTTTTTGGTACAACATAACCTTAGAGGCATTAATACTGATACTTACATTTTTTATAAACCTATATATAAATGTATTAACTTTTTAAACTTTACTTTTGTCTTGAATTGTTAACTTTTTTCCAACTTAATTTACAGTAGGCAATATATCACCCAATGACTCATCTAATTGGTCAACTATCAAAATAAGATGCACAGCCATGTAGCAGCATCTTTACTGAAAGACTGGATATAAATTGTGTTTTCAGTAAACCTGCTTCTTGAAGCAGACCCCTGGTGACAGCATAAACGCTAAGTCAATGTGATGGTGTCACCAAACGCATAGCCGCGGGGGGGTGGGGTGGACAGAGGCCATGCAGCTGCCAGCAGGGGGGTTAGACTTTGGAAACTGTTTTCTGACTCGCTCTGCTCCAGATGTTTTTGCTCTTGCATTTCTCTCAGACTATGGAGACTAACAAGCCACAGTTTTGGAAAACCCATGAAGATTCCTGCATTCTAAAACAATAAAAATGTCCTGAAGGACCAGCAGCAGTGATGTGGAACTAAAGAATCCCCCTAAAGTAGCCATACTACAACACATGCCTGACTTTAAGCATGTTAGACCTGTTTGCGAAAGAAAGCATGAATATCTTTTACAGCTGCTTTCCTGAGCAGATCTTTGCGTGGCCGGGTACTCACAGGGAAAGGCTCTGCACCTTCCTGGATAACAAAGCCTTCAATCAGGTGTGTCAGGATGTGGGACTTGTCTACGGCCTGCTGGGCTGCTTTGCTCTCTCCATCATGTTGGCTGTTTTTACTGCTCCCGTTGCCAGAGGTCATGACTGGAGCACAGGCCGCCCCGAACCTGTCGACAAAACAGCAAACCTTAAAAATAAAGACTCATGGGTCCGATGTTTTCACTTTCAATGTGGTTTTTGAGTCACACCAGCGTATCTTCGGCCGCCAACCAGTGAGGTAGAGGAAAACATGCTAACACATCCTCTGCTCAATCAGGCAGACCTCAGAGGAGGAAAGCCGCCTGGCAGTCTGTGCTGCTGCAGCTCATTGAGCAACGAGTCTGGCAGCAGGTAGCTCCAACTTCATGCACCCTAACCGGAGATCTCTCTCATTTTTAGAGTCTTGGTAAAAAATTACAATCCCTTTAAAACGTATCTCCCTTAACCTTCTCTGAGAAAAACATAGTTAAAAAATAGGCAAATAACTGGTTCAGCTGAAGATGGAGAAAATAAAGCGTGAAGATGTATGAAACATCTACACCACCAGATTTATAGAGTAAGAAAAACAGAGCTCATAGATCTGTAGATCTGTCAATCACAGACACTGACTATAGATCTATAGAGTCACAAAACAGAGATTATGGATCTGTAGATCTATAGAATCCCAGACGCTAACTACAGATGTGTAGATCTATGTAGGGCAATAGAATCACAGAACAGTGACTATAGATCTGGTTTTGGTTTCAAAAACCTCTAAATGTTCCAGCAATTCTATTACCTTGTTTGACTTTTGATGCGCTGCCAGAAAACGGTCTAAAGATTGTTTGAGTTTTCAGTTTCGGAGAGAGTTAAAAACCCACTGCTGCCCCTCCCCCATTTGTTGCTGCTAACAGCAAGTAAACTGGCTTATAGAATGATCTTGGCAGGCATAATTACAAACCAAATACATTTATTTGTTTATATTAGAAGTTTGTGGAATCTAAAGAAGCACCCAGCACTCTTCGTTTAGGGTATTGCTGATTTTAAGTCATGAACAGCATATTTGTAGCTGACTGGCTCTAACCAGCACAGAGAACTCAAGCAGTCAATATCGGTTTCTCATTATTAAAAAGCAGAAAAAACAGAAACAATATTTTTCTCATTAAGCACTTTTCTCAAAGGTAAATCTAGTTGTTTTTATCTGATATTAAAGTAGTAACAGACAATGTTTACATTTCAAACTAGTTATTAAATAATGCCTTAAAATATTATTGTAAGTTATTGGTTTATATGCTGTGATGTCTTAGATTTTTTTTCAAATTTTTAGACTCTCATACTTTTTTTTTTGATAAAAAAAAAAAGAAAACAATCCATGGTGTATACCTGCTTATCCGTTCAGGGTTGCTGGGGGGCCTGGGGCCCATCTCTAGCCGTCATTGAGTGAGAGGCTGGTCAAAGAAAACAAAAAACAAACATATTGGCAACACGAAATAAATCAGGTTAGAAACAGCATAAATGATCATCAGACAATTAAATATTTTCATCACACAGCCTTTTTAAGGCATATTTTCTAACTCCAAGGAGAATAAACTTAGGGGAGGGTGTGGTCTAAGGAGGATAACAGGCTACATTAGAATTATTAGAGTATTAGAGTCATCATCATCATACTTTCAATAAACTCTCTTACAATACAGCACCATCCATCTAACAGGTTGTTCTATTTAAAATCCACCAAATCCAATGTAAAGGTCATTTAGTAAAAACTGATCTGTCCAAGGAGCCCCAGCAAACAGCATTCAGCCACTAACTTAGCAGCAATACCTCAACTGATGCTTTCATCAGCCACTGGAAGGAAAAAACCTATCTAATGAGAGGAAAACCTTGAGGAGAACCAGAACCAATGGAGTCACCTGCCACAACACATGAACACATGAACAGTCCTCCAGACTATCTGAAGATCAGAGTTTGCTCAAATTTGAGAAGAAACTCTAATTTTCATTTATTCCAAAAAAAACTTTTAGGGAAAAGTACAATTATAATTATGTATAAACCTAACTGTTAAAAGGCTGGAAACTGGCATCACCTGATGACTTTCTACTTTTTCTCGTAGTAGCTTTGTCTCATCTGTTCCCTGTTGGCTTTGACAGCACCCTGGAGAGAAATATCAGCTGTGCTGCAGCCATCAACACCTTTGTTTATAGATGTTGGAGATGGGCCTGTTTTTCTAGTGTAGTCCTGTTTCTCTGACTGTGACTGGCTGATTGTGCTCTCTTCATCCTCTGACATGGGAGCTGGCTCGGAGCTCGTCTGCCTGGCTGTGTTTCCTGTGGAGCTGGTTGACAGTTACCTTTTGTATCTATGCTTCTTTTTCTATCTGCTGTCTCATTGAACCCCAGTCGGCCTCAGCAGATGGCCGCTCACACTGAGCCTGGATATGCTGGGGGTTTCTTCCTGTTAAAAGGGAGTTTTTCCTCTCCACTGTCACTACAAGCATGCTTAGTGTGAAGGATTGCCTTTGAGTCAATGAGTTGATGCAATCAACTGGTTTTCCTTAGATAGAAAACTTTGAATCAATCTGACTGGATGATCTGGTGAACTGTAAAGTGCCTTGAGATGACATGATGTGATTTGGCGCTATAGAAATAAAGTGAAGTGTATAGACAGATCTCATAGCAAAATACAAACCCTATCTTCTTGAAAAAAATAACAATCCTGCAATAAAAAAAGCAATATTGTCTTCTTCATGTGACATAAATATAGCCGATACTAGAAGGAGAAAATACACTTTTATATCAATGAACAAGGTCACTAATATGTCAAATTAGTATGTAAATAAAACAAAATAAATCGAAATTACCCAGATGTATACAGAAATGTTGTGCATCATTGGAGTACAAAGCACACAGTGGCGGCAGCTGGAGATAAACAGAACAGCGTGTTACTGTAGTTTAAAGCACAACTTCCTGTTTATATCCAAGTCTGTGGGGTTTATCAGCCGCTCTAAAAAGTAAACCTGAGCAAACCTCCAACTTAACTCTCATTTTCTTAGAGGCTAAATTCAGTGATATGAAAACTAAAGGTTCGCATCACTTTAGCCTCCTCACCTCCACGCAGCGTTGCTCCTTCACACTAAACTAAACTGGACCGACTCTGTAGAACTGAAGCTAGCAGTTTGTCCCAAAGCTTTCCAGGCGCCCTGCGCGGTAACAATGGTCCGGGGAAGAAAAGCTCTTTGTTCAGCGGCTCCAACTGCTCCGCTGCTGCCGCTGGGAGCAACACCCCGGCGGCCAGGCGAGCATTCACCGCATAAACCGAGCCGAACCGGAGCGGCCCGATACACCAGGAGGACTGGCTGCTTCCCAGCTTCACCACGAATCCACGCTGCACTTTCAAACCTTGTTATTAACATCCATTACAACTCAACTCAAAATAATCAAAACAAAACAGGTGAATGTCTCGTTTCCGCAGTAAAACTTCAAAATAAAAGCATATTTTGTGTTTTGGCGGTAAGCGCAGCTCGACGTTCGTCCGCTAATCTAACTTATTCTGAAAATACATGTTAGGGAAGATTGTCGGTCAACTGGAACCTAAAAAAAGAGAAAAAACAGCAATCAAATTAAGAACTCAGATTTTTTTTTCTTTGAAATCATTTTTATATTAATCTGAAAGTAATTTCAGCATCTAACTTTACAGAAAACTTAAAAACTTTAACTAAGGAAAAATAAGTAGATTGTTTTTTTTTGTTTTTTTTTTTCAGTCACCATCAATCTGACCACAAACAAATAAGTGATGGATTCTGCAGCATTTCCTGTTGTTTTGGGATGTAAATGTAGCTTTGGAGCTTCCAGCGTTTTTAACCCTTCCTGTGAATCTATTTCAATAGGGAGTTTCATTCTTACATGAAAAACACCACAGTGTTTGACTGTTGAGATGGTGGAATAACAACAACACCAGTTTATTGGTTTGCTATTATGTTCAGTTTCCAAGTGTTGATAGATCTTTTAATCTTAAAGTGAAATATAATACATTTTTAACTTCTAAGAGTAATAATTAATGTCCCCCAAACAAATGGATTTATAATGACTAAAAAATAGAATCAAGAAAAAAAAGTAACTTATTTTTAGAAACCAAAGAAACTAAACAGCAGTTAATTCATTTTCTTTCACCTAAAAAAGTGTGATGGAAAATGACAGGAAATGACACAGTTACTCAGCTATTATAGCTCCAGAACAGCAGTAGTTTATTTGACTCAGCGAGATAGGCTGGTCTATTATAACCCAGCAAATGGGTTATAATAAGCTAATTATGGGTTGAGATAATTACAAACTTATATAAATTTAACCACTAGTACTTGTTAATGGCCCCTACCCAAATGGATCAAATTATGTCATTATTGTCTCTTCCCAAATGCTGGATGGAATCAGTAAAAATCCTGGATTGTTTTTTAATAATTTGTTATTTCTTCTACCCAAATGCTGGGTGAAATCAATCACAGTTTGTGACTGTTTCCCGAGCAACAGAAATTTGTTTAGTAATGTTTTTGGTAAAAAATTTGTCCAGTAACTTAAATCCATTCTAAGAGTAAAATACATTAATTAGGAAAATAAATTGGAAGAAATGCATTGATCTAAAAAGAAAGGTTGTCTAAAAGCCCTTGAACTTTGATAGGGCAGAGTGGGATTTAGTCTTCAGAAGAAAATATGAAAATACACCAAAAAATAGAGAATCATTTGGATTTGTGCATGGGTATTAATGTGTTATTTTACCAAAAATCTCCTTTTTTTGCCAGTCTGCAGGATCGAAAAAGGTACATAGTGTGAAACCTAAGTCATCTGGTACCTTTTATTTTTAATTTAATTTCAGTCATAACAGATTTACTTTTGAAGGCAGTTGATTTCTTATTAGATGTATAGACTGAATATGTTTATATCAATACATTTCACTGGATACAATCATAAAAACACACCACACTGTTAAAATAATTATAACAGTGTTACCGAAGTGATCAAAATAAATAAAATTCTAACCTGAGGTTCCCTGCTAATAATAATGTCCCCATATGCTCATTCAGGAGGAGCCACTCCTGGAAAGTCAATGACTGGGTACAATCAGCTGGTTTTCTTAGAAAACTTCATCAGTCTGTATGATCTGATGGAAATGTTTCTGTAAATGGCTAAGAGATGGCATAAATTGGCAACAACAAAAAAAAAAAAACATAATAATAATAATAATAATGCCATTACTTCTGCTGCTCAGTGGCGCAGCCTGGGGTCTCTCTGCATGGAGTTTGCATGTCCTCCCTGTGCATGCAATGGGTTCTTTCCGTGTACTCCAGCTTCCTCCCACAGTCCAAAAACATGATAATTGGCTTCTCTAAACTCTCCTTAAGTGTGAGTGTGTGTGTGAATGGTTGTTTGTCTCTATAATATCATCAAAGACCCCTCACACCCCCACCATGGACTGTTGTCCCTGCTGCCCTCTGGGAAGAGGTTCCGCAGCATCCGCTGCAGATCCACCAGGTTCTGCAACAGCTTCTTCCCCACTGCCATCAGACTGTTGAACCTTTGATCCACAAACCGAACTCTGCACCTATTGCACATTATCGGGCATCAATGCTGCTTAACGTTTAACTTTTAGCCCTTTATGTTCATCTCATTTCTATTCTCAATAACGCATTTTTTGCACAAATGCCTATTTGCACTGAACCACTGCAACTTGCACACTGTCTCTTATCCTCTGCACTGTTCACACTTTGACCACTGCTGCACTTTTTGTATAACTCATGCCATTTGAAATATCAATGCAATGTTCATAAGCTGTATGTAACGCAATTTTGTTCTGTATGCACTCTGTGCATACAAAATGACAAAGAACTCTAAGTCTAAGTCTCTGTGTTGCCCTGCGATCAACTGGCAACCTGTCCAGGGTGGCGACTTGTCCAGGCAATACTAGGCTGTTGCCTAGGGTCCTAAGTTCCTGGGGGCCCCATAAAACTATGTCTACATGTGTTGCCACCTTAGTGCTTTTGTCGCTATATTTAGCAACTTTTCAGACCCCTCGAGTACTTTTATTTCAAAAAAGCACCTAGTGCCAAATCTATCAACCTTTTTCTGTTACTGGAGACTTTGGTGACAACATCTAAAAGCAGCAAACTCTGCCCTCCAGAGCAAGTTGGTAACTCCGCCTCCTGCTCGCCTCTATCTTGCCTGCTGTCATGATTCATGCAGCTATTATTTCATCCAAATGAAAAATGGAGAACAGATAAACAGATCATGGCTTGTCAGAGGGACAAAACGTAGAACAAATAAAGGATGTCTATTCTATTAACATTTCTGTATCTGTATAACGGGTCTGTTTTATGATTTGTCTTCTCAATTCAGGGTTCCCCCTGCCTGTCTTTGCCTATAGGGCCCCAAATTTCCTAAATCCGCCCTTGCAAGGGTCGCTAATAATAATAATAATAATAATAATAATAATAATAACTTTATTTTTGCATTAAAATTATAAAGAATTAAAAGCAGGAAGCCCTAAGGCGTTTCCATCGTGCTGCATCACTCTGGTCCCTCTACCTGTTTTATTGACGCTCAGCTGCTCAGAGGCGCAGCTGACTGACAGTGCGCTGCTCTCTGTCTGGAAACCCGCTGAGGGAAACGGATGAGACGGGTAGCAGAACCGGCTGCGCTAAAGGTCTCATGTCGACAACGTTGGACCTGATGAAAAAACAGTGTTTGACGCCCGAGGCTCTGTCCTCTGCATCTCTGAAAAGAAGATTGATAAGGAAGAGTAGGAGAGTCGCACCGGGGGAGCAGCGCGCTGCGGACTGTGAGCCGCGCAGGTCAGATCTGCTGCTGAATTCACAGAGAAGGACCCTGAGCTGATGTGGGAGAAATTAAGTAGGATCGATTTTTAGTCAACCAACCGTGTTAACTAAAAACACTTAAACTTCTTGAGCTAAATATTTATTTAAATAACTTTTTAACCCTCCTCAAGCATTATTCTGCTTTCCTTTCAGCAAGTCAGAGTTTCTTATTTTCTCCCAGATTTGTCCTAATCAGACTTCCTCTTTTTAGAAGGTCTAATAACAGGAATGCTCTATGATGGTAAATTCAACCATACAACTGTTAATACAAACTTTACAAAAAGCTGCATAATTCAGTTCAAATCAAATAAAACCAAATCAAATCAAGAATACTTCATTAATGCTAAGGGGAAATAAAAAAAAAATGAAACACAGGTTATAGAACCAGTTCATACCAAACAAAATGCTATATTTTACATCTAGTGGGCAGTTTGTCATTCCCCACATCTAAACAGCATTGATCAGGCTTCTCGTTCAATAAAACAGCTGAATGAAAGGCAATTTTAACAGAAATACAAGACATAAATTAAAAGCATTTCTTAACAAAAACAACAACAAAAAATAATTCATTTGTTATAAAATGTGGTATGAAGGAGGAAGAACAATCCAGTCTAAGGGAAATATTATATTATTATTTTATTTAATCTTTAACTGTTACTTTTACTTGGTAATGAAAGTGATGACTGATATTGCATAAATATTTGGGTTTTTGTACTGTTTGTTGTGTAATATGTGTCTGTGTGTCAAGGAGAGGAGATACAAATGAACTCTGAGAGCTAGAATTATTTGAAAAGATTTTTCTCTTTGTGATTTAGGCTAAATATGGTTCCTTTTCAATAAACTAAGCAAACAAACAAAATCATGGCAAGTTTTACAGGAAGGTCATGTAGATTGATTAAGAATAAAATCCCCACAGTCTGATGTTAAATCTAAAACACAAATTAAAGGAAAGCTCAGAGGCGGAAGAACAGACCAATTATACAAATACAGAAATTTTTATAGAATAGACATACATTATTTGTTCTGTTTTGTCCCTCCCTTATTGCTTATCTGTTCTCCATTTTTCATTTGGATGAAATAATAGCTGCATGAATCATGACAGCAGACCAGATAGAGGAGAGCAGGAGGTGGGGTTACCAATCTACTTGCTCTGGAGAGCAGAGTTCGCTGCTTTTAGATGTTGTTTCCAAAGTCTCCAGTAGCAGAAAAAAGGTGCTAGATTTGGCACTAGGTGCTTTTTGAAATAAAAGTGCTTAATATTATAAGCGTTCTGATGGCATTTTGGCGAAAGGATTTTTATCCAAAACATAATTAATGTGCACAAATAAGGAATAGTTGCATTAACCATACATGTAAGCAGAGTTTTATAGGGCCCCCACAAACTTGGGGCCCTAGGCAACAGCGTAATGGTAAATCCCCCCCTGGGAGTGCATCTTAATTAACTAGACTCTGGAACATCGATGGGGTCTGTTCAGTCGAACACAGGGCTGTTAATCGTCCATCCTCACACATATAAAGCCCATTTGAACCATTGTTAGGGCTTTTGTTGATGCAGTGATTCCTGAGCTCCTAATGGTTCGTTTTAATGCTTGTCTTCATGTGGAAATAGTGCAGGCAGTGTCTGGAGGATGAAGGGGTTGATACAGCAGACAGGCATCCCTCCTCTGATTATCTAATTCTAAAAGAACTTCTCTGGGACATCATGTTTAGGTCAGTGCCATTTGGTTGCACCTCAGACTGTCCAGAAGCTCTGGATGCCCTGGTCATGATGTGGGAGGAGCATGTCCTGACGCTGTCAGACACACAAGCACACAGAGGTCATTCAAACTACTGAGGGCTGTTTAGATCTGCTCAAGTGTCTGTCTCACTACATTACTCCAGCCGGTTGCCATGCAGCGTTTCAGAATCACTTTCTGGATGACATCAGTTTAAACCCTCTGAGGATTCATATTCTTTACTGTCATCAAAATATGTGGCATCATTTTTGTATCTCTGCTTCTTTCTGTACAGTATGTCTGCTTCTGTCTCCTTGAACCCCAGTCGGCCTCAGCAGATGGCCGCTCACACTGAGCCTGGTTCTGCTGGAGGCTTCTTCCTGTTAAAAGGGAGTTTTTCCTCTCCACTGTCACTACAAGTATGCTTGGTGTGAGGGATTATCTTTGAGTAAATTAGTTGATGCAATCAACTGTTTTTCCTTAGAAACATTTAAATCCATTTGACTGTATGATCTGGTTGAATTATCTCTCTAAAGTGCCTTGAGATGATGTGTTGTGACTTGGCACTATATAATTAAATTTAATTGAATTTAATAATTTTTCCCCGGCACATTACCTATTCCATATCAGTAAAGCTATCCAGTAAAGTTGATTTTTAATGCCGACTACAGAATTTTAAAATTGATATTTTTTTGGATGAAAAGTATCAGTTTGCATGTGCTGCAGTACAACCTATATGCATGACTTCATATAGATATATATATATATCTATATGAAGTCATGCATATAGGTTGTACTGCAGCACATGCAAACATATACTTTTCGTCCAAAAAATATATAAAATATATAAATATATATCAAAAAAAAAATTATATATATATATATATGACTTCAGCAATTCTTGCCATATTGCCTTGCTTTTTGCTTTTTGTGTTAACAACAGAGCTTCACATATCAATTTGCAGTTCTCATCCCACTATCAATGTGTTAGATATCACTCACACGATGAACTACATGGCTGCAGCTGTTTCAAGCGATTTTCTCTGCATGCCAGCTACATATTTCTCCGGTTGAGAGGATTTTTATTGCCCTAGAAGATTATTGCCCTAAAAAGATCGGATTGTAGAAATTAGCATTAAAGGGTTACAGAGATTGGTTGGAATAAAGGTTTCATTCTTAAATGATTTGTTGATATAATCATTGAATCCTAAATGATTAGTTTTGTTCTAATTTCAGTGGAAGTATAAATGCTTCCAAACCTGATTGAGAAGTCAGGCTCCCATTCAGATATGGCTCGATGGGAGCCCGAAGGTTTGGAATAAGGATCTAAACTTTAAAGTGGTCAAGAACATCTGCAAACCTCAAGCTTAAGAAAGTACTGTGAAAACAATCAGTGGTTGTGTTCCTGTGTTTCAGGTGTTTCATGTTTTCTCAGTCTGGCAGCAGTCGTTCCGTCCGTCGGATTTTGACAGCCTGCCTCCTCTCCTTCCTGGCGTTGCTTGGCTCTGTATCCCTCGACCTCAGCTCCAACTTTGATTTACTGGATGCCACAGAAGCTGCATACAATGAGCTGACTTCATGCAGGACAATAGCTCTCCTGCAACTCATAAGTGAACTTCAGAAGATTAGGCATTTATTGGCCAAAGACACAAACAATGAGACCCTGTCATCAGGTTTCCAGCCAATAGATCACCTCTGTGCTAAAATGTTGAAACTTCAAAGGTTTTCTTGCAGTGCTGAGTTGTCTGTTTTTTGCCTGCAGATGAAGAGAAGCATACAGACATTTCTAAATGCCACCCTGGATACCAACAGCCCAATTTCACTTTTCACTCAGGTCATAGAGAGACTTTTGAACACCTGGGGCTCAGTAGAAGCTGATTTAGATGATGCCAAAAAAAACTCTAACTGGAGAGATGTTCTGTCTGCCAGACTTCTAGTAACATTCATAGAACTTAACTACCAGCTGATGCTCTATCACAACACTGGGACTCCTGCTGACTTTCAGCTCAGATGGACTCAAACGCTGAGCTATCTGAGTTTGTGTAAAGTAATGTCAGAGCAACTGAACTGCTGCTGGTCAGAAAATATAGAGCTCAAAATAAACCGGAGTCTAAAAGCTCCACATGTGTCTATTTTGGACCTGAGTCCATGGCAGATCTCTGGAACAGGAAATAGGCTTCTTTCAGGGACTCCCACGGGAATTCAGGCTCTGATAAAAGCACAGCAGTGTTTGTTTGATCGTGCATCCCTGGCTCTCCGGCTGGCATCTCGATCCATGTCTTCAGTCCTCAGCATGAGGATCTGCCTGCTCGCCATGGCGTGCCTCATCTACCCTGTGGTGATGTTCTCCTTCAAGCAGATGACAGAGTGGATAGAGAACTATGCTCAAAGCTTGAAGGAGAAAACTGAGGATCTGAAGCGGCAGAGGAAGCTGGCTGAAGATCTGCTGCACCAAATGCTGCCAAAGTCGGTTGCCAAGCAGCTGAGGAAGCAAAGACAGGTTGAAGCTGAGAGCTATGAAAGGGTGAGTGCAATCACAATTAATTAAAAATATAAAAATTTAAAAGCATTTTTGTGTGTTACCTGTTTAAAAACAAAGTGTTTTCCAAAAGCTAAAATTTAAATTACTATCAGAAACATTTTTATTAGTCAAGTTTGGTTTCCATCACTCACATTGTATCAACTTCCATTTAAAATATTAAAAAAAAAAACTCAGGGACAATTAGAAATATAGATAAAGGAGCAGTATTTACATGTGTTTGTTACTTAGAGTCTTAATCTTTTCTATAAAAAAAGAAAACCGTGTTTTGATTATTTGTTTTTCTATGTATTTCATTTTAATAATACTTTATTAATCCCAATGAAAAAGGAAGTGAAATGCTGTTGTAATATTATAGGGGTTTCTTCAGGGAGGTGTAGATGTTGATTGTTGTAGGCATGAAGGGTCTCTCTAGTGAATTATCATATATACGTGAAGGCAGAAAGATGAGCAGTAAAACTCAATTTGGTGGGATTCTGATTTATCTAGAAATTAGTCATGTTTTTTATATTTTGGGAGGAAGCTGGAGAACCTGAACAGAACCAAAGCAGGGACCTGCAAACTGCTTGCAGAAAGACTGGGTTTCAAGCTGGGATTCAAACCGAGGACCTTCTTTAAGCTGTGCCACGGTGCAGCTCCTGCACGCAATACAAAAACAAATAAACAAGAAGAATATTAAAAGTCAGAAGCCAAATGACCTATATTCTGGGAGTTAACGTCGAGCACTTTTCATTTTAAATCATTAGTCCATGCTTCAATTAGATTCCTTTATTTGGGATCACAATCATCATAATTTAAGTCAAAAAGGTGATGCAGTTTACAAACATCCATGCTCCATAGTGCATGGATGTTTGCATAAATGTCAGGTCTAAGCACCTAAAACATCATACATATATATATATAGGGAAAGAAAGAAATCACAGAGACAATTAATTTAGTTTTACTCGCATGTAGAGTAGGAAGAGACTGCAGAGTTTACAAATCTCCAACCCACTCTGCCAGTCTTCAGCTTTCTCCTCGCTATTTATTAAAGTCGGGGGGGTCCCTATTTACACAAGCTGAGGTTGCGCTAAAGGAATAGGAAACAAGAAATACAATTCAATTTGCAGCCTCAGTAAACAGGTCAATTTGCATTTAACCCTTTAAAGCCCAATCCAAGAATAAAACAAAACACAAAACAGAAAATTACTTTTTTTTGGTTTGAAGTCCTTATTTGGCCTTTTAACAAAATGTGTAAAAAGAAAAAACAGAAATACATTTTTGATATTAATAATTTATTACTATGCAATAAGTCAAAATAATTTTTTGTGTAGTCTTCTGCCCTCTGTTATCCGGTATATCTGATTGTGTACAATAGGATTTTGAGCAAAGTTTTTACCATTAAATTATGCAAAAGGTGTCAGACCCAAAACATTTCAGAAACCGTATGTATCAAATATGATACATTTGGCATTACAGGGTTAAATGTGTTGCGGTCAAATGGTCAGAGAACCTCCTGGTTTCGTTAAGCTTGAGCAAACTTCCTGAGAGTTGACCTATACTGCTTGTGCAACACCTCTCTGGAACAGCAATATGTCACACATTATACATCATAAGAAAAAAACATTAAGCATCTTATACATATTTATTCCAACAATAAACATGTTCATATAATATTACTCAAGAAAACGGTTAAGCAGTCAGCAAAAAATAGACGTACATGCATCTATCACCCACTCACAAGACACCCTTACCTGGTGATATTCCAATTACTAAGCTATGGCTGTTCACCACACTCCGTGAAGTATTTTAAAGGCTTGTTATTGATGTTTGGATAATAAAGTTCGTGCATCATTTTAAAACAAAATGTTTGGACCTTTCTCCGGTTTATAAAAAACAAGAAGATTAAAAAAACAAGAAGTTAAAGATCTTTTACTTAAAGGGATGCTTCAACAACTGCAAAACTATGAAAACATGAATGTCTTTTGGTTGGGAAAACAAGCAGCATTCTACAGAGGTGCTAAGAAAGTTACCTCATACATTGTTTAGACTCCTTCCGTTTTCCCCTCTGAATGTTTTTTACCAAACCCTATATGTAGATGATGAAGCTGCAGGGTTTGTGGATCTGCTATGAGGAGGTTACATCTGCAAGATCTGCAAACACCCTGACTGAACGTGTGTGTTTGTTGCCTTTGTTGCTATTGTTGGCATAATTACCTGTAATTGCCCTGCTACATATTCATGTGGAGATAAAACAAGTTGTCCAGATGAAATTATGTCTGGCATATTGAAGAGGTTTGAAGTAGCTGGACCCTAAAGCATCTTCTTGTGGGTAGGGGGTTCCAGATTGAAATGATCTGATGGGTTTCTGGAATAAAAGATAACAATAACACTGTGGAACCAACTAAAAAGTGAAATACAGCTCTGATAACGGCAGGTAGCGGCTTTAATCTCTCCAGGCACTCAGTACCAGGGAGGCTGATTTCCTGAATGTAGGAACACAAAGTTTATTGTAGGACCTGCCCTGTAATGTCACTCATTGTTTCACTTAAAAATAAATTGTTTTGAGTTGTAGCATAATCTGTTTTGTAATTTTTTTTAGCTCTGGATCTTCAATAATGTGCTCCAGTTGGAGTCGAATATAGCAGTTTCCTGTCTCATTAACGATTTGTATAAATTAAAATTGGTATTTTAAAAGAATATCTAACAACAAGACATTTCAGACATGTAAAATCAAATTGTATTATCATCTGTAAGTAAAAAAAAAAACACCTATTATGTCTTGATGAAACCTCTGTAACTATGCTTTATTTAACATCAGCTGCACAAATCGTTGCACAGGTAATGTCTGCAGGTGGATCTATGGGTCCCAAATGTTTGTAGCCTTATTCATGATATTTTCTAAAAGCTTTATATACTGATATATTCTGGTGAGGGAAGGCAGGTAATTTGAATTTGAATGGAATTGCTCAAGTTTTAGTGAGAAGCTCTTGGGGCTTTTGGATATGTTGCACTTTATCTCTCTTATCTCTTAAAAAATACCTTTATGAAACTTGCATTCTGATTTTACAGATTTAGTTTGCTATTCTCTTTGCATTTTTAATGAAACTTAATTTTCCAATCCATCTTAACTTAAAGTTACAGTGTGTAATAATTACAGGGATATACAGTCAGAAATGTAATATATTATACATAACTATGTTATTTATCATCATCTACGAGCTCAGCCTCTTAACCTTAATATTTGCATTGCCTTAGAATTCGTTATTTATAATTACATAGGAGCGGGTCTCGCAGCCATGGAGGCAGAAATCTTTGCGCTACGGCAGCGCAGAGCCAACAAACTAGCGATTGCGAGATCGCCCATTATGCTCGAAAGTAAATACGGCAAGTTGAGAGAGATGAACTAAGATTGGTACTGAACAATAGATGGCAGTATTAAAATTATCTATCTAAACGAACCTCATCACTTGAGAAGGTAGGTGATGCGGACGTTGTGGAAGACATTTTGTCCCGTAACGCTCGCCGTACTGTTGGGGGGGAGAAGCGGTGGGGGGGAGATGTTCATGTTGCTGCGGTCTGCAGTCTGACCGCTAGATGTCGCTGAAAATTACACACTGTAGCTTTAACGTCCTTAGATAGAAAACTTTCAACCAATCTGACTGTATGATCTGGTTGAATTGTCTCCGTAAAGTGCCTTGAGAAGACATGTGTTGTGAATTGGCGCTATGTAAATAAACTGAACTGAATTAAAATGAAAGAGCAAGACAGAAAAAACAACAAAGAAAACATGATGTTGAAATTTGATTCTGAGTTATTATAGAAAATAAAGTGAAATGAAATGTGCTCTTTATGATAAAGCCTATGAAATGGAAACCTGCTTAGATTTAAATAACAAAAAATGAGTAAAATTTTTTGATATTCTATTTTTTTCACCACTGTCTTGAAATAAAAACTGACATATCTCCATTTGAACGATGCTCTATGAAAGTTTAACAACATATGAACTAATATGACCTTATATATTCCTGTTGTCATTGTTTTGCTGTGAAGCTGAAACTAATGAGAAGTAGAGGGCAACAGATAAGGCAAACCTTTTCTCCCTTTCTTTTTTCCAGGTGACCATTTTTTTCTCAGATATTGTGGGCTTCACATCCATCTCTGCATCCTGCACTCCTCTGCAGGTGGTGGAGATGCTTAACAACTTGTACATGTGCTTTGACACTCGCATCGACTCCTATGACGTCTATAAGGTAACAAATACAATTCAATTCAATTCAGTTTATTTATATAGCGCCAAATTCACAACACATGTCATCTCAAGGCACTTTACAGTTCAACCAGATCATCCAGTCAAATTGATACAAAGTTTTCTATCTAAGGAAAACCAGTTGATTGCATTGACTCATTGACTCAAATACAATCCCTCACTCAATTCAATTCAGTCTAATTCAGTTCAAATACAGCATGTTGCTGGAAATCTGATCTTTCTATATTGAGTTTCCCTCCAACCAAACTGTCTATAATCTTTAAAAGGCTTTTGATAATTTATTCTACAGGCCGTTTGAGGGTCTTCTAAAGCTTTCTTTGAAAATTAACTACTTTTTTTGGGTGACATGCATGTCTGTTATTTTTTTTCTTAATCTTATCATGTTTTTCACGAAAGAAAAAATGCAAAGGATTTGTTCCTTTGATGCCAGCTGGTAGCCATGGAGTACCGTAGCATTCAGTTGTTAGCTAGCTAACAATTCAATTTCAATTCAGTTTATTTATATAGCGCCAAATTCACAACACATGTCATCTCAAGGCACTTTAAAGTTCAACCAGATCATACAATCAAATTGATACAAAGTTTTCTATCTAAGGAAAACCAGTTGATTGCATTGACTCATTGACTCAAATACAATCCCTCACACTAAGCATGCTTGTAGCGACAGTGGAGAGGAAAAACTCCCTTTTAACAGGAAGAAACCTCCAGCAGAACCAGGCTCAGTGTGAGCGGCCATCTGCCGAGGCCGACTGGGGTCAAGGAGACAGAAGCAGAGACACAAAAAGCAGCTGTAAAAGGCGGCCCCGTCCAGGAAACACAGCCAGGCAGACGAGCTCCGAGCCAGCTCTCATGCCAGAGGACGAAGAGAGCACATCCAGCCAGTCACGGTCAGAGAAACAGGACCACACTGGAAACCAGCCCGATCTCCAACATCTATAAACAAGGGTGTTGAAGCAGCACAGCTGATATTTCTCTCCAGGATGGAGTCACAGCCAAACAGGAACAGAGGCAAAGCTACTCTGAGGAAAAGCAGAGAGAGCAGAACGTTAGAGATTGAACTAACAGATTCTGCAGAATAGAAGAACAGAGAGAGAATGAAGCAGATTGATTAAAATGGGGGTCCCTGAGTCCTCCAGAAGTCTAAGCCTATAGCAGCATAACTATAGAGATAGCTCAGGATAACCTGAGCCACTCTAACTATAAGCTTTATGAAAAAGGAAAGTTTTAAGCCTAGCCTTAAAAGTAGACAGGGTGTCTGCCTCACGAACTAAAACTGGTAGTTGGTTCCACAGGAGAGGAGCCTGATAACTAAAAGATCTGCCTCCCATTCTACTTATAGAAATTCTAGGAACCACTAGTAAACCTGCAGATTGAGAGCGAAGTGCCCTGTTAGGAACATAAGGAACAATCAGATCTCTGATATCAGATGGAGCTTGGCCATTTAAGGCTTTATTTATTTATATGTGAGAAGGAGGATTTTAAATTCTATTCTGGATTTAACAGGAAGCCAATGAAGAGAAGCCAGCTGCAGCATTTTGGATCAGCTGAAGGCTTTTAACTACAGCTTGTGGACTTCCTGATAGTAAAGATTTACAATAGTCCAGACTTGAAGTAACAAATGCATGGACTAGTTTCTCAGCATCACCCCTGGACAGGATATTTCTATTTTTTGCAATATTCCTCAGATGAAAGAAGGAAATTCTAGAAACCTCTTTGTTATGGGATTTAAATGACAGGTCCTGATCAAAAACAACACCAAGATTTTTTACTTTATTATCTGAAATCAGTTTTTATCCCATCCAAATGAAGTGACTGACTAATCAGCTTATTTTTCAAAGACTCTGGTACAAAGACTATAACTTCTGTTTTGTCTGCATTCAGAAGGAGAAAGTTAAGAGACATCCAGGTTTTTATGTCTTCAAGAAATGCCTGTAATCTATGTAATGGGTTAGCTTCATCTTCGTAGACAGATATAGCTGGGTATCATCAGCATAACAGTGAAAATTAATCCCATGCATATATATATATATATATATATATATATATATATATATATATATATATATATATATATATATATATATATATATATATATATATATATATATATATATGCATGGGATTAAGAAGCATTACTTCTTATTTTAACCAGAAATGTAAGAGAAAACACATGTCCATTTGTTTGTTTTTTTAGACGGTCAGTCTAAGCTTAATCAGATTTATTGGTCCCTTTTTCTGCAAAAATAGAGTTCACACTTACAATCTTACCCAATAATTAATAGGTAATTAGTTGGGTCAGGGTTATGCATAAAAAGTTTGTATTCTGAATGTGACCGGAGTTTTTCTTTAACAGTTGCAGAACTGGAAAACGCTAAAATGGAGATCTGTCAAAAGCAAAGCTACATGCATGGGCGTAGGTTTGTATAGGGACCATAGGGACATGTCCCTATTAAAATTTTGGACCGACCTACTTGTCCCTACCAACAATTACATGTGAATAACATGTTTATAATTTACAATACAGCATTGTTACACCAGTAGAGGAGTTCTGGATGGAGAATATTGACAAAAACATGTTTTATCTAAAATGCAAAATTCTTATTTTTTTTTTCAATATTAGTATAATTCCTGCTTGAAGTGGGTCGGTCTGTGAGCTAAAGACATGTTTTAGAGTCTCTATACTCCAGTTAACGATGAATCGATTACTAAATTTGTTGACATGTTGACACAATAATTGATTAATCCGATGAATTGTTTCTGCCCTAAATAAAATACATGATATGAGTCACACAGAGTAAATACAGCCTAGATGTACAACTTGTAGAGTGAGGTTAATATATTAAATGCTCAGTGTCAGTTCCTCTTCTAGTTCCAGGGCACATGTAAATACAATGCATTTATTTGGCTTCCCTTGGATCTATTATTTCGCTTTGTTTCATGATACAAAGAGAACATTTAAAATTGTGGGTTTTACCTCTATTTACCTCTATGTAACCCACAGCACATAAGGCCCTACTTCCGAGTTCAATCTGAGAGTAGTGCGCCCTGCCCCTTTAAAAAGGGGGCAGATCCCTGACCCATACAGATTGCTCCACAGATGCTACAGCCAACGCTACTCCCAGCTGCTCCTCGCTGTGGCTTCTCTGTTTTTGAAAAAACCCGCCTTGATACTCCACTGCTGCTTAATTTACTCTGATGTCTTCACCATAGATCACTTTAGCTTCTTTCAACTCGATTTCCAACTCATAACCTGGTGGACATTCCCTGTATCCTCTCCCAAATATACACACAGCCAGGGCTCTGGAACCCAGCTCCTTGAGAGAGGCTGGACTCTCTTCTACTCTGGAGTGACCCGCGGGGAGAGGCGGAGGGCGGGGGTGGGGCTGCTTGTCTCCCCCCAGCTCAGCCGTCTCGTGTTGGAGTTCACCCCGGTAGACAAGAGGGTCGCATCCCTTCGCCTTCGGGTTGAAGGGAGGACTCTGACAGTATGGGCCGAACGGCAGTACGGAGTACCAGGCCTTCTTATCCCTGGGGAGGGTGTTAGAAAGCGCCCCTCCTGGGGATTCCATCATTCTAATGGGTGACTTCAACGCCCACGTGGGAAACGACAGTGACACCTGGAGGGGTGTGATCGGGAGGAACGGGGCCCCAGCTCTGAACCCGAGTGGTGTCTCAATATTGGACTTCTGCGCAAGTCACGGATTGTCCATAATGAACACCATGTTCAGGCATAAAGATGTCCATCGGTGCACTTGGCACCAGGACACCCTATGCCGAAGGTCGATGATGGACTTTGTAGTCGTATCTTCTGATCTTCGGCCGCATGTCTTGGACACTCAGGTGAAGAGAGGGGCGGAGCTGTCCACCGACCACCACCTGGTGGTGAGCTGCATACGCTGGAAGAGGAGGAAGCCTGAAAGACTCGGAAGCCCCAAACGTGTAGTGAGGGTCTGCTGGGAACGTCTGGTGGAACCCTCGGTCAGGGACGTGTTCAACTCCCACCTCCGGGAGAGCTTCTCACAGGTTCCGAGGGAGGTTGGAGACATGGAGTCCGAATGGGCTTTGTTCTCTGCCTCTATTGTCGATGTGGCTGCCCGTAGCTGTGGCCGTAAAGTTTGCGATACCTGTCGTGGTGGCAATCCCTGAACCTGGTGGTGGACACCAATAGTAAGGGATGCTGTCAGGCTGAAGAGGGAGTCCTATCGAGCTAAGCTTGCTTGTGGGACTCCTGAAGCAGCAAGCAGGTACCGTGAGGCCAAGCGTGTCGCGGCCCGGGCGGTTGCAGAGGCAAAATCTGGCCTGGGAGGAGTTTGGAGAGGCCATGGAAAAAGATCGGTTGGCCTCAAAGCGATTCTGGCAAACCGTCCGGCGCCTCCGGAGGGGAAAGCAGTGCTTAACTAACACTGTTTTCAGTGGGAGTGGGGAGATGCTGACCTTGAAGGAGGATATTGTCGGCCGGTGGAAGGAATACTTTGAGGATCTCCTCAACCCGACAGACACGCTTTCCGTGGGGGAAGATGAGACGGGGTGCTTGGGGCTGGATTCGTTCATCACCCCGGCTGAAGTCACCGAGGTGGTCAAACAACTCCACGGTGGCAAGGCTTCGGGGGTGGACAAGATCTGTCCTGAGTATCTTAGAGCTCTGGATGTTGTAAGGCTGTCATGGTTGACACGTCTCTTCAACATCGCGTGGAGGTCGGGGACAGTCCCCTGGGATTGGCAGATTGGGGTGGTGGTTCCCCTCCACAAGAAGGGGGACCGGAGAGTGTGTTCATAACTTTTATGGACAGGATTTCTAGGCGCAACCAAGGACCGGAGGGGGACTGGTTTGGGGAACAGCAGATCTCGTCCCTGCTTTTTGCGGATGACGTAGTTCTGCTGGCTCCCTCCTGCCAAGACCTACAGCGTGCGCTGGGGCGGTTCGCAGCCGAGTGTGAAGCGGCCGGGATGAGAATCAGCTCCTCCAACTCCGAGGCCACGGTTCTCGACCGGAAAAAGTTGGCTTGTCCCCTTCAGGTTGGAGGAGAGTCCCTGCCTCAAGTGGAGGAGTTCAAGTATCTTGGGGTCCTGTTCACGAGTGAGGGAAGAATGGAGCGGGAGATCAATAGACGGATCGGTGCGGCTGCTGCAATAATGCGGACGCTGCACTGGTCTGTTATTATTTAAACAGTATAGGAGACAAAGGAAAACCGGTTTAAAAAAATAATGGTGCAAAAGGGCATTAACATGGAAAAGTTCAGTGCAGTGCAAATAAACAACACTGAGTTGCGTGATGAGCAATGGAGCGTTAGGCCGGTTCTTCCTGAAATCTCCTTCATGTTCTCCACGTTCAGGATCAGGCTGTTATCTCTCTAGGATGGATGGATGGGTGGATGGATGGATGGATGGATGGCTGATGGATGGATGGATGGATGGATGGATGGATGGATGGATGGATGGATGGATGGATGGATGGATGGATGGATGGATGGATGGATGGATGGATGGGTAAAATGCAGATATTATCAAAGCTCTATAATAGATAATAATCAGTCAGTAACTGGTTTGCAGATATTTTGTCATTCATATGAAAGCTTTTTAACGGCCTCATTTAATGAATTAAATGAAATTCTCTGCCAAGGTGGAGACAATTGGAGATGCCTATATGGTGGTGAGTGGTCTACCTGAGAGGAATGGTGACAAACATGCAGATGAGATTGCCAAGATGGCCCTGGACTTGTTGGCGGCGGTCAGGCAGGTGTCCATCCCTCATATGCCCAACGAGAGGCTACAGCTCCGAGCCGGCATTCACACAGGTTAGATGATGGCTAGATAGATAATTCTAGTTTGATTTACAAAACCTAAGTGGGATATTTTTAATGAACCGCACTTATTTCCATCACTCCCAAACTTAGAAGACCAGATGATGTTTCTCTGGCTCAATGAAGATCCGATATTTGTAATGTTATAGATTGTCCCTTTGAGATTCAACCTATAATGTTTTACATATTAATGGGCTTTTATTTTGAAATGCACATAAAAACTTTAATATCCTGTTAAAGCAAAATGTTTATGATTTTTGTATCAAATGAATTAAATAATCTTTTATATGACAAATGGTATAACTTTTAAATTAGATTATAATACATTATTGTTGTTAATAAACTAGCAAGATAAATAAAGACTCAATGACAATATGGTGAATTATTCCTATAAGCATGTTTTTGTAATTTGTTGCACTCTAAATAAACTGAATTGCATTGACTCAAATGACAAAGGCACCACTTTGCAGCTGGAGCAACAGCACCACCCAGAGGTTGTTCTAACCAAAATAACAAACTTTAACTGTAACTAACAAACTATCAAATTGAATTATATTGAGTATTTTATTTTTAAATAATCATCATTAAATCAAGTTAATCAATGTAGGTTATATTTTGAGGAATACATTGGATTTGAAACATAATAATTCTCTGTGTTATCTTTACCTCCACCAAGGAGGCTACAGTCAGGTCCATAAATATTGGGACATCAACACAATTCTAATCTTTTTGGCTCTATACACCACCACAATGGACTTGAAATGAAACAAACAATATGTGCTTTATCTGCAGACTTTCAGCTTTAATTTGATAGTATTTACATCCAAATCAGATGAACGGTGTAGGAATTACAACAGTGTGTTTATGTGCCTGCCACTTTTTAAGGGTCCAAAAGTAATGGGACAATCTGCTGCTCAGCTGTTCCATGGCCAGGTGTGTTATTCCCTCATTATTCCATTTACAAGGAGCAGATTAAAGGTCCAGAGTTCATTTCAAGTCTGCTATTTGCATTTGGAATCTGTTGCTGTCAACTCTCAATATGAGATCTGTCGCTATCAGTGAAGCAAGTCATCATTAGGCTGAAAAATCAAAACAAACCCATCAGAGAGATAGCTAAAACATTAGGTGTGGCCAAAGCAAGTGTTTGGAACATTCTTAAGAAGAAAGAACGCACCGGTGAGACCCGGAAGACCACGGAAAACCACTGTGGTGGATGACCGAAGAATTCTTTCCCTGGTGAAGAAAACACCCTTCACAACAGTTGGCCAGAACAAGAACACTCTCCAGGAAGTAGGTGTATGTGTGTCAAAGTCAACAATCAAGAGAAGACTTCACCAGAGTTATACAGAGGGTTTACCACAAGATGTAAACCATTGGTGAGCCTCAAAAACCGGAAGGCCAGATTAGAGTTTGCCAAACAACATCTAAAAAAGCCTTGACAGTTCTGGAACAACATCCTTTGGACGGATGAGACCAAGATCAACTTGTACCAGAGTGATGGAAAGAGAAGAGTGTGGAGAAGGAAAGGAGCTGCTAATGATCCAAAGCATACCACCTCATCAGTGAAGCATGGTGGTGGTAGTGTCATGGCGAGGGCATGTATGGCTGCCAATGGAACTGGTTCTCTTGTATTTATTGATGATGTGACTGCTGACAAAAGCAGCAGGATGAATTCTGAAGTGTTTCGGGCAATATTATCCGCTCATATTCAGCCAAATGCTTCAGAACTCATTGGACGGCGCTTCACAGTGCAGATGGACAATGACCCAAAGCATACTGGGAAAGCAACCAAAGAGTTTTGTAAGGGAAAGAAGTGGAATGTTATGCAATGGCCAAGTCAATCATTTGACTTGAATCCGATTGAGCATGCATTTCACTTGCAAAACTGAAGGGAAAATGCCCCAAGAACAAGCAGGAACTGAAGACCGTTGCAGTAGAGGCCTGGCAGAGCATCACCAGGGATGAAACCCAGCGTCTGGTGATGTCTATGCCTTCCAGACTTCAGGCTGTAATTGACTGCAAAGGATTTGCAACCAAGTATTAAAAAGTGAAAGTTTGATTTATGATTATTAATCTGTCCCGTTACTTTTGGTCCCTTAAAAGTGGCAGGCACATATACACACTGTTGTAATTCCTACACCGTTCATCTGATTTGGATGTAAATACCCTCAAATTAAAGCTGAAAGTCTGCAGATAAAGCACATCTTGTTTGTTTCATTTCAAATCCATTGTGGTGGTGTATAGAGCCAAAAAGATTAGAATTGTGTTGATGTCCCAATATTTATGGACCTGACTGTATATTTTTAGTTGGGTTTGTGCGTGTATGTGTGTGTTTGTCTGTCTGTCTGTGTCCAGGATAACTTGAAAAGTTCTAAACTGATTTTAATTACTTTTTTGCCAAAGGTGTGAGCTATAGATGAAAGGCACAATATTGGACAAAATTAGCTGTTTGGCAGAGGTCTACGCTCTCCGAGTGCTTTCTAGTTATTATTTCTCAGACTTTTGGAGATGCTGTAAGCATCATTTAGTTGACTTTGACAGTAAAAAAATTGATTGAATCTCACTGCATTGTTACCTGATTGTGGATATTATTATTCTTTCATCTTTTGGCTCCACAGGTCCGTGTGTGGCAGGAATAGTGGGCTACAAAATGCCAAGATACTGTCTGTTTGGAGATACAGTCAACACTGCTTCGAGGATGGAGTCCACCAGCCTTCGTAAACACTTTAAAATGAACCTCATCAGCCTTTAGTTAGAAGCTGAAATGTCATATAACCAAGTATTACTACTTAGCTACTTTGCTTGATTAGCTCTTTTTCTTTTTGGAAGAATATTTACTATTACTCTCTACATTTGAACGAAAAACATCTGTAATATCTTTACATGATGTAACAGCTGGAACAAATTCAGATGTTCAGGCAAACTTAAAAACATCAACAGCAGATGTGTTGAGCTGAATGTATCTAACGTGAGCTTTCCTGTTTCAGCTCAGAAAATCCACACTAGCTCAGAAACATACTTGGCTTTGATGAAGGACAACGCCTATGAGTTGCAGCTACGTGGCGAAATTGAGGTCAAGGTAACATGAACAAATAAAAATCAATCTATCTGGTATATGATTTTCTTTGATAGGTTTATATGAAACACTTTTAAAAACATATTTATTCTGTTTATAAAACAATCTGTACTGAAAACACAAAATCAATTCAGTTTGCATATATGAAGGAAATCAGAGGCGCCATTTCATTAAAAAAAAAACATTCTATTTGTCTGAGAAGAAACTAAGCATATCATCTGTTTACTCTACATATACTGTATATTAACTTAACACATTCAAATGAGCCCTATTTCAAACACTCCTTATATGTGTCAGAACATTATAAAAACAAAAATATTCAGTGACCCTTAAAATCTGGTAAAGTTTAAATATTAATTTAACAATTTAACTTGAAAGAAGTAAATGTTTCATTAAAAACTGGGTGCTGAACCTTCTATGACGTGGAGGTGAAAAGTAAATAATGGAACTTAATGTAGCTTCATTTTTTACTTCATTTTTCCCACATATTACATCCTGGAAGTTTTGGTGTATAATTTCTATGATGTTTGGTTTTGAGATAGAAAGGCTCTTTGACTTGTGTTTGTTATTTTCCGTTTACTTTTTCCAATACTATTTTTTTTTCTCCCCTTTAAAACGCCAGAATTTGCACATGATTACGTAATTTTATACAACAAGTCAGATACGATGATCAGTTTCCTTTAAGTTACTTTTCCATTCTTTAAAATAACAAATAAGGTTTCCACTCTTTCTTGAGTAATTTCTTGTAAGTGTACTTTTTACTGTTATTAAAGTAAAAATACGGCATTATAAGGAAATGCTGCTCTTACTTGAGCACATTTTACCCTACTCTCCTTTACTTTCAGCACCATGCTTGGCAGTTTGTAATTGATTTTTTGTTCTGAGATTTGGCTAAACAAAATGATACACAACATATAAACGGCTCTTTCAGGAAAGTTGTTTTAAAGTTGGTTGGTGCACATACCTCTAACTGGCCTAAAAGACACTGCTACTTGAATTGTGTAGCTATTTGAAATGTAATTTTGCCACCTTGATTGATTTTTATTGATCTCACAGTGGAGAAATGTACTCGTTACTCAAATAGTCTGAGGTGCCAAAGGAAGAAAAAGGTGCATGGGATATATACAGTATATACACTGCGTCCACATAGGACAGCTTTTCTTCTTTGTTATAGCAGGATTGTACAGGGTTATTGCACAGGGTGTTTGATGTTTACATGGGTATTCATATAGATTATACTTAAATATATAGTTATTATACTGGGTGTCAAATATAGAGAAACAGGTCATAACACAAGGTATTGGACATTATACATTGCACAAGTTATTGCCATTGTAGTGTCGCATTGTTGAGTCTGGTGGCAGCAGGGATGAATGACCTTTTTACAAACAGGGTGTAAAGGTCTTTCACTAAAGGAGCGGCTCAGCTCCTCTACAGTCTGGTGCAGAGAGTAGGAAGTGTTGTCCATGCTTGGTGCTGCCAGGGGCCCAGCAGACAACAGCGTAGAGCATAGGTCTTCAACAGGGGGTCCGCGACCCCTAGGGGGTCCACAGAGGAACTGCATGGGGGTCACGAAAGTGTTGGTTGATTAGACTTTTTTTTATATTCCCCCCTGCAATTTTTCCCCTATTTGAAATGTCTTTAAATCCACATTAACATGAATTCAACACACCATAGTAAATATGGAAGCAAATATGGAAAAATGGAGGCAGAAGATGTCTTTCAGTCATCAATGCACACATTCAGTGACACACAGGAGCTCTTTTAAGCTGGGCACCGTTTCATTCACAACACCTATCCCATCAACCAGGAACCAGAAATACTTTAATAATCCCAGGGAGAAATTACTTACTTTATAAGACTCCATCTGTAATAGAGTGACTATAGGACCATTTTGATACTTATTTGACATTCATACAATATATATAATTAGGGGGTCCCTGCTCCATCTTGCCATCAGTTTGGGGGTCCTTGGCCGGGAAAATGTTGAAGACCCATGGCGTAGAGGAAGGCTGAGGCCCTTCTTACAAAGAGCATCAGTGTTATGAGTCCAGTCCAGTTTATTATCGACGCGAAAACCCAGGTATTTGAAACTCTCCATAGTCTCTTTGTCCTGCCCCATAAGTTGTATCTTGGAATCTCTTACTTTGCATCCAGTCTGTGTGGGTTGATCTAGAGAAGAGGAGACATGTTGAACAGTTGACAGGTAGACATTCTTTGGACCCGGAGGAGCACTGGAGCGGACTGTCACTTGGATTTCCGTGAGGGACTGAAAGGCACATGTGGAGGTTTCTCCCCTGCTCAGTGTGAACTCAGAAAATAATCCTTCCAGGGGAAGAAGACCAAACTTCCAGTACGCAGGAGGACTTCCTGCCAAAGGCAAAGACAAAAACAAGGAAAGACTCAGTTTGACTCAGTGAAACAAAGACTCAGGTTAGACTCAGCTAATCTAAGCATGGCTAGATTACCCAAAACTGGCAAACACTCTGGCGTCGAGGTAGTGACAGTCCACTGCTTAAGTACTCCTCCAGATAATGATCCAAAGAGACGCAGGTGTGCAGGGAGGACCAACAATGACAGGGCGCCACCTGGTGGTGGAGGGAGAGACGGACACAAAACAGACCACACAAACTGGATTCCTGACACTATTACCCGTCCCAGGAGGATATGCAGCAGCAGTGCTGATGTCTTCCTACTTTAGTGATGAATGGACACATGTCTTTATGTCCATAAGTGTCCACACTGATAATGATCCACATTTAGGGCTTTATTTTTCTATCTGTTATTTTTATACACTTTTCTAAGGTACGCATTATGTGACCACTTTTACTATAACATTTGCTGCTGTAAACACCACAATTTCCCACTGTGGGACAATAAAGGGATTTTCAATTCTACTCTTAGCTAATCTCTTAGCTCTCTTTGTTTCTTAATTTAGATAGAAGCTGTAAGTGTGGACTAAGATTTATACCCAGCTGTTAATTATATTTTGTATTTTTGTTTGTTTTTTTACTTAGGGAAACTTCATGGTTCCTTCACTGTTTTTATCTGATATTTAAAATCATATGATTAAGTTAATTTTAATTTAGATGATTTCCCAACAGCTTGACGGGAGATCCAGCTTTAGGCATCTCAAAAATAACAATAATTTTTTTATTGTTTTTAATGTGGATGCTGATTTTTGTGTTGCCTGTGGCAGACTGTTTGACCCTACTCATTATTCTCTGCCCAGGGTAAAGGCAAAATGAATACATACTGGCTTGTTGGTCATAAAAACTACAGTGTGCAGAATGACAGTCTGGTTTGCAAATGGAATCCCAACATGGCCAGAAAGAAGAAGGCGGCGGCCGGAAGTCTGGCATCTGTAGGAAATGTAAGTATGAATTTCCTCTGATTATTCACATGGATACTTTGAGGCATATCTGAGAATATGTGCATATTAACCTATGATATTGCTGCTAATCTTTAAAAAGAGCTACTTGTAATTATTATTATTATAACTATGGAAGTCCAGGCAGGACAAAATAACATCTGGGCTGTTTCCAAACAACCGCCTTAACCGCTAAATCACTCAATCACTATATAGAGCGAGGACTTTATAGTGAGCTCAGTTAACTTTCGGACAGATGATCGTTACTTTTCGCTCCACATTGGTCACGTGAGTCCGGCTCACTTTGTTCTCTCTTGCCCTGAAAAAAATCTATCCAACCCCAGATTGATTTGCAAGAGCTCTCCTTGCAAAGCAATCTGGGATATATCTTCCCACCTCCGGAGACTCGGACACTCTTCTAAAATGGTGTAACCACCCGATTAGGGCGGATGTTCGAACACAGCCATGGTCACTAGAAAAGCGGATATATCCCAGAAAGCTTTGCAAGAGCTCTCTCTCTCTGTCCCTAAATATATATATATATATATATATATATATATATATATATATATATATATATATATATATATATATATATATATATATATATATATATATATATATATATATATATATATATATATATATATATATATATATAGAGATATATATATATTTAAATAATTTCACATTTGGCATAATTCAAATGAATGCAATTTAAATCTAGATTAATCTACCCTAATTTCAAGATTTCAGTGAGATTAATCTAGATTAAAAAAAATGTATCTATACCCACCACTAATATATATGTATATATACAAAATTGTTTGGGGTGCAATTGGATGACATCAACTAATTAACCTGAATTAGTCATCTGTTTATTTCTGTGTATACGTTTCATTTATAACTTATATTTTCATCTGTGCAGTCGTCCGTCACAGTGCAGAGTCTAAGCGACAATGCAGCTACACCGGTTTCCCTTCCCTCTTCAGCACTGAACCAAACACCGCAGATGCCTCGGAGAGAAAGGATGAGTCTGAGTGTGGCTGCTCAGATGGAGCCGTATGGGGGAAGCTATGGGACCCTGGGCTCCATGATCGGGGGGCTGCAGGGTGGAGACGAGTCTCCGGTAACCAGCCAGCATGGTGGACTTAAACCTGACCTGCTGCCTGGTTCTAACCAGCAAATGTGATCATATAATCTCTGATGTACCCAATGAAATATCATTAAAAAAAATCACAGATTAGTTTGTAAATAAACGTTAAGATTTTAGGATCATATATTTGTGACCTGAGTGATGTTTTGTTTGCTTTTCATGATAACTTATGTTTTAAGTTGCAATGTTTAGGATTGGGTGTTTATGGCTGTAGAATTCCTTCTGAGGGTGGAGCCCTGGGGCCATTTGCAGGCGTCTTGATTGTTTTTATTTTGCTCCTGCCCTGACCAAAATTAAAAATGGCAAAAATTGTGAATTAAAGACTGTTTCAACTCATTTAGGGTCCTTACAGTGAACTGATTATTGAGGTTTGAGAGTCCTAACTCTTTGAGCTGGTTTATGTCTAACCGTTTACCAGTTAAAGTGTAATAAAGATGTGAAGTGTTAGAATATATAAGTCAAAATGTGTCCAGTTCTACTGCTGTGTTAAAAACTGGAAAAAAAACATCCACACCAACATGTTCACAGAAGGTAGACTGCATATTGTCAAAGCAGTAGTCTTACATATTTGACCACTTTCGTTGGCAGAAGTGGTAGAGTATGTTTAAATCGGTGGATTTCCTGGCATAAAACTGAAATTTAAGCAGTGTCCTCATGAAACCAGTTTAAGATCTCATTGTATTGACTTTGTAAAGTGCCTTGAGATGACATGTGTTGTGAATTGGTGCTATATTAATAAACTGAATTGAATTGAATAGATGGCAGCTTTTGGGAAACCATACTGACTATTTACTGTAGAGTGAGGTAAGTTTGCCATAAAAATGGACATAAGGTGGCGACCAAGAAAGCTCCCCTGTTCAAACTTCAACAAGCTTTAGTTTGAGGCTCATGATATTAATTCACAGAGATCAAGCTCCTCACCCTATCTCTAGGGCAAAGCCCAGCCACCCTTGGATACAGCTTCTCGTTCCTTTGGTCATGATCCAGATTCCACGGCTATAGGTCGGGGTAGGAACATAGACCAACCTGTAAACCAAGAGCTGTACCTTTTCCCTCCCTTCACCACAACTAACCAGTGCAGCAGCCACACTGATTCTTCTCTCCCACTCCATTCTCCCCTCCTCGAGAACAAGATCCCAAGATACTCCTCCACCTAAGGCAGGAAGGGTGCCACCGTATTCCATTTGAAAACCAAGGATCTGGAGGAGCTGATCTTCACCCCAGCCGCTTCACATTCCCATGAGAACCAACCCATTGCATTTTGTCATGGTCGTGGCAGGAGGGAAGCCAGCAGCAGCATAATCAATATCAGCAAAGTGTTTCCAAAAAGCAGGAACCAAATACCCCAAACTAGACCCCCCAAATCTATCGTAAGCTGCGCCTTATACAACAGGAGCAGTGGCACAGGGCATCCCTGCTGTAGTAATTATTGTGAAGGCATTGATGCAAAAGGGTGTTTTGAGGTTCCATTTGTTTAAAAAATAAGCAGATGTAATATGTGTAGATGTTGTCGGTTCATGTTTTTACCAAGTGCGGATGTCCTGTCAAATGAGCATACCCCGTCAGACCAGCATACCCATAGTCAATACCAGTTTATCCCTTCAGTTCATCCCTAAATACACTTTAAACTACCTCAACGGGCATGCATCCCTTTAGTCATGTACAAAAAAAAGTTTTTGACGTGTATGGCTATCTGACCTTAATTTTTTTTTCTTTTGTACATGATTAAATGGATACACGCCAGTCGAGGTAGTTTAATGTCTTTTTTTCGTACAAAACTAAAGGGATGAAGACAAATTTGACATCTTGCTTATGCATATTGACTATGGGTAAGCTGGTCTGACAGGGTATGATGATCTGACAGAACACCGTTGATTGATGCCTGTTACTCATGTTGCATATGTATATGTTTGCGTTTGTAGATGTTTTAATTGTCGATGTTGCACATAGATGTTGCATTTGTAGATGTCTCTATCTGCTATTGCGGTCATTTACTCACTGACTTAGACTTTTAGACTTGGACAACTTTTATTGTTATTTTTTATACACAGAGTGTATACAAAACGAAATTTCGTTTTGTACAGCTTTCAGACAGTAAAGGAGCAGCAGCTTGGCAGTGAAATGAACATTCCCATTTCATAAAGTGCAGCAGTGATAAAAAGTAAACAGTAATTAATCTGTTGCCTTTTGCATCTCTGCTTCTGTCTCCTTGAACCTTGAAGGTTTTGCTGGAGGTTTCTTCCTGTTAAAAGGGAGTTTTTCCTCTCCACTGTCGCTACAAGCATGCTTAGTGTGCGGGATTGCATTCGAGTCAATGGTAACTGTATGAACTGTTTGAATTCAATTCAGTTTATTTCTATAGCGCCAATTCACAACATATGTAATCTCGAGGCACTTTACAATTCACCAGATCATCCAGTCAGAGTTTTCTAAGGAAAACCAGTATATTGCATCAACTCATTGACTCAAAGGTGATCACTCACACTAAGCATGTTTGTAGCGAAAGTGGAGAGGAAAAACTCCCTTTTAACAGGAAGAAACCTCCAGCAGAACCAGGCTCAGTGTGAGCAGCCATCTGCTGAGGCCGACTGGGGTTCAAGGAGACAGAAGCAGACATAGAAAAAGCATCTCCACAGGCGGCCCCGTCCAGGAAACACACAGCCAGGCAGACGAGCTCCGAGCCAGCTCCCATGTCAGAGGATGAAGAGAGCACATCCTGCCAGTCACAGTCAGAGAAACAGGACTACACTGGAAAACAGCCCGATCTCCAACATCTATAAAGAAAGGTGTTGATGGCAGCAGCACAGCTGATGTTTCTCTCCAGGATGGAGTCACAGCCAAACAGGAACAGACCAGATGAAGCTACTATGAGAAAAAGCAGAGAGAGCAGAACGTTAGAGCTTGAACTAACAGATTCTGCAGAGCAGGCGCGCTGGAAGCTGTTTCAAGCGAGGGGGGCTGATGGCTGGGTTGGAAAACACATGACGTCATTATGTTGAAGGCTGTGGCTGACGTTTTTAACATAATATTATAGGCCTACATTTGTCGCCAAAAACTGCCATTTAAAATGCATTGGAACAAAGCATGAACATTTTAAACTTTATTTCTTCTCTTTTAATCATTCAAAACAAACAACAGCTCCCAATCAACAGGATCAGGAATACTTAAATAAAACATGGCCTAAATATAGCCTAAACTGAGCATTGAACGTCTTGAAAGGGAATGATTTCATATCTGAAACAAAAAACACACACACACACACAAAAAAAAGTAATATTTTATCACTAAATAGCTTAATAAAGACATAATATTGAGTGATATGCAGCCTTATTCTAGCGTAGACTTCTTCAGCCACAGGACTAAGATGAATAGGCACATAAATAACGCTAAATTCGGCAGTATAGGGGAATTAAACCCATTTCTTACCTCGAAATAGTCAGAAATACGTTTCTGCTGCCTATTGCTAGCCATGCCTAAACGAATGTGAGGTGGCGGAAGCTTCCGGGGGAGTAGCCTAGTTTTTTATGAAATATTAAAATAATAAATCATTAGTTTATATCTTATACACAGCCCATCATTTTAATCCCATATCAAACACAGTCTTTTAAATAATAAATACATAAATAATTTCATGTTTTTAAGTACAATATTATGTTACTCCACAGCCCCCCACCATGGGGGGCTGATGCTATGACGAGGGAGGCTGCAGCCCCCGCAGCACCCCCCTTCCCGTGCCACTGCTGCAGAGTGGGAGAATAGAGATAGAATCAAGCAGAATGATGAAATGGGGGTCCCTATGTCCTCCAGCAGTCTAAGCCAATAGCAGCATAACTATAGAGATAGCTCAGGATAACCTGAGCCACTCTAACTATAAGCTTTATCAAAAAGGAAAGTTTTAAGCCTAGTCTTAAAAGTAGACAGGGTGTCTGCCTCACGGACTAAAACTGGTAGTTGGTTCCACAGGAGAGGAGCCTGATAACTAAAATATCTGCCTCCCATTCTATTTTTAGAAATGCTAGGAACCACTAGTAAACCTGCAGATTGAGAGCGAAGTGCTCTGTTAGGAACATAAGGAACAATCAGATCTCTGATATCAGATGGAGCTTGGCCATTTAAGGATTTATATGTGAGAAGGAGGATTTTAAATACTATTGTGGATTTAACAGGAAGCCAATGAAGAGAAGCCAGGATAGGAGAGATATGATCTCTCTTTTTAATTTTCATCAGAACTCTGGCTGCAGCATTTTGGATCAGCTGAAGGCTTTTAACTACAGTTTGTGGACTTCCTGATAGTCACCTCAACACGTCATCTCAATCTGCAGTAAACTATGATACTCCTATAGGGTTCCATTTATTAGTGACATTACTTTATGGCAATCTGAGGATATGTGTTGATCTGAAGATCTGAACAGTTTCATACTTAGATAAAATGCAACAAACTTTTCCTGCGTCAAAGCAGAACTTCCTGTTAGGTGTCAGTTTAGTGGAAGTTTTGCTCTGTGTGTCTCTGCTGCCTCTTAAAGCACCTCCATAAGTGGCTGTGTGCGGGTGAATGCTCGGTTTCCTGTATGAATGCTACATGCAAACCACGTGGTGTGAAAGCAGACTGCAGCTTCTTTTGTTCAAATCAATCAAACCGGAGACGGACAGAGAGCTGCTGAATCAGGAAATCACTGGTATACAAATCATTTCTTTTTTAGTTTTAGCGAATCACTAAAGGAGAGCTTATGGACTCCACCGACGCTGTTGGTGTTCTGGTGTGAACACACGTGTAGTTTGGGAAATGTTGTAAAGTTTGTTGATGTAGCATCTTTCGTATGGAGCGTCAGTCTTTGACTGTTTGTTAGCATACAGTAGCGAGGTAACGTTAGCATAATGAACCCCATCATTCAATCACATTTTACTCGGTTTTACATCAAATGTATGCAGGTTTAAAATTCCTCCCTCGCTATTTAAGACATTCAAACTTCACCGTGGTTGTGTGTACAGTGGGAAATGGTGTAAGTTGACCTGCCGTACGGCGGGTTTTACGGCAGCTAGCTCGCTAAACAACCGAACAAAGAGCGGCGGACGGACGGCTAGCTTGGTGAAGCTAACGGATACCAGCTCAGGGTTCGGTCCGCTGCTGGCGGCTTCTGGTTCTGGTCCCTCTCTCCTCCAGACAAGCTCCACCGCTACTTGGAGGGAGATTATTTAATGCCATCATGAAACAGAGTCAGCTTAATAATGTTTGGGGAAAATTATCTTTACGGAGCCCCGATAGTGCCAAGTCAGGAGCTCCTTCACTCGGTGAATTATTAATTACAGGATTCTGTTAAATAACAAATTAGATATCATAATGCAGGTTGATGTTTAACGCTATTAAAGGTAGCACCAACTACTCTCAGTATAAACCAAGAAAACCTCTGTTATGAACTCAGTAATTTGAGTTTGTTTTAGTAAAGTTTGGATCAAAGTTGGCTGGCCCTTAAAGTTAGCCCTGTGACTTGGAAAAGCAGAAGTTTCCTACCAAGGCTGGTAGTAAAATTCAATATGGCTGCCAAACACAGAGCACAGTGAAATATTTATTATTGGATGATATTATTGCATCTACCTATGGAAGCCCGGTTCCCCCACACTGTTATAAGATAAAATCATCTCATTATAACGAGATAGTGTCTCATTATCATGATGTGAGATACTATCTCAAAATAGTAAAATCTTCCTGTTTAAAGGGAGTTTTTCCTCTCCACTTTTGCTGCAAGCATGCTTAGTGTGAGGGATTGCTGAAGAGTCAATGAGTTGCTGCAATCAACTGGTTTTCCTTAGAAAACTTTGTATCAATTTGACTGGATGATCTGGTTGAATTGTGCCTTGAGATGAGGTGTTGTGAAATGGCGCTATATAAATAAACTGAATTGAATGGGGAAATAATGGGATACTATCTCATTATAACTAGATATTATCTCATTATTTTTGAGATAATATATTTTTCAGAGTGCTGGAAACAGGCTTCCTTAGATTTCTGACATGTTTTGTTGAATATTGAATGAATCAGAGACTGAACTGAAAAAAACTTATTGCTTTTTTTTTTTTTTTCAAAGTGCAGAAGGTGGAGATAAATGTGTTGAAATGTATATGTCACTAGTAGTCTTAAAAGGAGCTGTAAATTATGTTTACGCCGCAGGTTTTCCTTCTACCAACTGGGACGGAGTTAATTTGGAGTTATTTTCATCAATACAGTTTTAATTTTAATAGTTTTTTAATTTCTTTTCTACTGAGTGGTAAAGATTTCTTTTGTAGTTTTTACATACGAACAATTTAATCATTTAAAGATTTATAATGATAATCAATGCAGCATGACTCACTTCAAAGTACAGCTTTTTGAACCTTTATGGTGTTTTAGTGTCAGACGTCTTTAAAACGTTCAATTCTTCGGGTCTTCGGTGTTTCTGTTTCTCTCCCTTCTTCTTCTGCTGCCCATGCTGGTTGGATTTTTACCAGGATATCTCTGAACTGTCCAAACTTTTTTCTTACTCTGACCTCTACTTGATCCTTTTCTGACTATAGCTACATTCCTACTGCAAAGATGCCTCGCAAGAAGGTCACAGATGTGTCTGGGAATGGTGGGATGAAGAGGAAGAGGGCAACCGGCAAAAGGAAAGACAGAGACTTCAGCAGCGATGATGAGTTTGACTTCGAGCAGGAGAACAACAAGAAACCTGGAAAACCTGCCGCCAAGTCTGGGCTGCAGCCCGTCACCGTCGCCGATGATGTCAAAGAGAAAATAGTGAGTTTAGTAATGTGTCTTAAACACACACTGATTCTCTTTTTGAATTTTATCTTTGTTTTGTCTTTGTCTCTGGTATGTGGCCTTCACTACGTATGATCAGTATGCCAAGGTTGATAGGACAGACATCTCTAACCTCAGAGAACAACAAATTCATTTTAAAAGCCCAGAAAGTGGAAATCCTTAACTTGATGATGACTATCTGGAGTTATATTAGTCATTAGGATCCTGTTAGTAGAAAATTATCTAATTCTGGGCAGGACATCTAGATAAAGCTTTGCTCACGAAGAACTACCGCAAATAAATTAAGAGAAAAACAACTTCTCACTTTTTACAATACTCTTCTTATGGGACAACAGAAGTTGTGGTCTGTTGAGCTAGTATTACCTTCTAAACTTTTTGCTCACTTCCTGCAGAAATTGGAGTTGCCAAAGACCAAAGGTCAGCTGCTCATCTTTGGAGCAACCAACTGGGATTTGATTGGAAGAAAAGAGGTGCCCAAACAACAAGGTAGGATATAAGCTTCACAAATAAACTCTGTGTGCTTTTCATTAATTAGTTGGATAATTAGAGGTGTTATACTGATGTAAGTGAAAAGTAGAATCGGAGGCAGTTCCTCTCCACTGTCGCCGCATGCATGCTTGGTTTTAGGGACTGCTGCAAAATGCAAGCTAAAATCTTCACATGTTTGCAGGTCAATTAATCGATGCAATGAGCCGGGGGGCTTTTTCGGTAGAAAAGTTGAACCGTTCTGACTCCATTGTCTCTGTAAGGTGACTTGAGATGACGTGTGTTAAATAGGGGCTTTAAAAATATATTTCTTCTATTTGAGACTGAAGGACACTCACCTGTTTAACTAGATTCAGTTGGTTTAGTTAGGCAGCCTTCAGGTTTTAATGCTGGTGTCTGTTTAAGAGACATAAAAACTGTTTTTTCTGGTGTGGACAGAACCCTGCCCCTCACAGGAATGTGCTTTTTTTTCTCCCTACCTGATGCTCCCTCATTTTTCTCCTGAGGCTCGTTATTCTGGAAATGTCTTCGCTGCTGTTTTTTTTTTTTTTTTTATGCAAACAAAAGATTCACAACCGATTTTCTTAACTCATTCATTGATGGTATGATATGTAAGGAACCGTTGGACTCTGTTAAAGCTTTAGGTTGATGTTTGGATTGAGAGGTTGTCCTGACCTGTCGCTGCAGCACAGTAATGAGCTGCAACAACCTGTAAAACCAGACGGAATCAATAAAGGATTGATTGGGTTTTGCATCATGTCTGAGAGTGAAAGGAGTTGACCACATGCTACGTGTACATGTGTGTCTTTGTTTGGGGTCTGCAGGCGGCGCGTGTGTCACAGTCAGGGGGATTCTTCTAATTGATTGTGACAGTAATATCCTTTCATATGCATGCATGCTGCGTAGTGAGCCCCGTCCCCAGCAGGCTGTGCTGTGCCTCAGGCCGGCTCAATGTTGCATCTCAGCTGCACTGCTCTGCTACTTACTGATAAGTCTGCTTTGTTGAGTCGGGGTGGGGGGTTGGGGGTGTCGCCAGGAGCAGCTGCAAAGACAAAGATCATCCACAGATGGGTGATGCTACTTTCCTCCACTGTGTTAGCCTCCAACACGCTCCAGTGTGTTGTTGTTTTCCCACTTTTTAACTTTCCTTGTCAATGTGTTGCACTGTGTTTCTGATTGATTTGGTTATGGTTGGATTAGTTAGATTGATTAGCCGTATAAAAAAATTCAGATAATTATTCATATCTTCCCGATGATGATCTTCCTCTGTTTGATTAGCGAATCTTCAGGCTCGTCCCAAATGTTGAAATGAAGAAATTTAATTGGTGACTAAATGAATTTTAAACCTTAAATGTTAGACAGCATGAAAATGAAAAGGATCAGTAATGGCTCAGAGAAAAGCTTGGAGAACTGAAGTACTTATGGACAGTTTATGCAAAGCAGTTTTGCCTCCTTTGTCTCCTAGCGTCTCGGGAACAGAAACCGGTTGAGAACATTTTCAATGTTCTACAAAGAAATCCAAGAATAAAACGAATCACTTTTCTTTAAACAGCTGAAGGTTTCGGCATCCAAAAGCATTCTTTAAAATGTACTTTATATGACCTCACGTAATCTTTTTATCTGTCCCATCTTTGCTCCTTTAGCCCATTTAAGGTTTTAATTATCTGAGACATGGGCTGAGGAAGAACTGGGAATATGGCTGAAACAATGAATTAGATTAATCGATTATTGGAATAACCACCTGATTAATTTAGTGATCAATGAGCATTACCTGGCATATAGAGATTCCAAAAGATGCCTTCAGCTGACAGAGTGACCCACTTAGAACAGTTATCCTACCAAAAAAAAAAAAAAAACCTTTTGCATTTAAGATAAAAGAGAAAAAAAACGTTGTATCCGATTATTGATCGATTTAACCGAAAAAATAATCAACATATTAATCGATTTGGAAAATGATAGTTTCATCCCTAGTTGGGAACCACCCAGACTGCTTTCTGTTCTGCTCTTACATGCATCAACCCATGTTGTCACAGACTGGGAATGTGCAGCTTCACATCATGAGGATGGCATGGGACACTAAAGGATTTATTCTTCCTTTAATGTTTCTCTTCAGCAACTTGAACTTTGTTTTTCTTCGTTTTGGGTCCTGGTGATGATTTTATTCAGCCATGTTTCCTTCCATCTGAACATTGGCTACTTTCACAAACAATGACTGGTTTTGAATTTTTGTCTGTTTTAAGACATTATTCCCGGGTTTCTATCCTGGTGCTTTTTTAGGTCTCCCTGGATATTTCCTCTCAGTGTGTTTGGATCAGGGGCCTGATGCATAAAGCTGCTCAAAGCCCGGGTTGGTGAACATGTGCAGCAGCAGCAAAGATGCTTTTTTTTTTGTTTGTTTGTTTTTAATCACTGTCTTTTTATTTAAATTTTCTTTTTTTGTACATGGAGAAAATGCAAACAAAAAAGTAATCCCATTTAGCCCACCCAGGTCACTACCCAGTAGGTCTATGCGCTACATTCATACCCATAACAGAAATGGAAAACATTTTAAGGAAATAAATTAACTTAACTAAGCTGGAGCATTATTACAAGTTTTGAAATGAGTTAAGAAAAGGCCCCCAAGTTTCTTAAAATTTACCAGTAAGATGCTTTTTCTTTAATCCACAAAAATAAAATAAAAATACAACAACTAACACCCAGACTCAGTGAAGTGATTTATTAAAACTTTATCTTTAAATTTTTGTATTAAGGGTGAATCATATTTTGCCTCAAACAATAACAGATCATGTAAAAAAAAGAAAAAAAAAGAAAAAAGAAATGAAAGCAGGCTCATTTGGTTGTAAACTATAAACATTCCTCTGTTGAGCCTATAAATACTCATCGGTCGGTGAGCTGCTGATACCGGATCATCTTAGAACTACTGTTCTGTCCAGCAGGAGTATTTTTAGAAGGACCTGATTGGTATTTTGGTTGTTTAACGGTCACCTTCAGCTTTCCCATGTTCAGCTCTATCCATGTAACTCTGTTATATACAATTTCTGAACTGCCTTTAAATAGATGCTCATTGAATTACAATTTATAGCAATCAGCTAGTGTCTAAACGTAATCAGAGCTTCATCCACAGCATATTTCTATTGGGTCCCCAGCTGTACATGTATTACATTTTATGAATGGAAACTATTTTCACATAGCAGTGCTCCCATTAGTCATTTTGCAAACGTGACTCATAGGTAGCGGCTTATTAGCCTGTTGAATGTAGGACCCTGTATGCTATAATAGTAACTATAACCAGTTGAAATGATAAACTCAGAGAAGGCTCCATGTCTTTTAAACACCCTTTGCATGGTGTGTGGTGCTAGATCAGAATTAAGCTTTAGTTGAGCTGGGTGCAGCACATGGCTGCATTTGGACCTGATACTGACAATGGAGATCAAAACATGCATGTGTGTTGTTGTTAGAGGTAGGGAAGCACCATATGTCAGTATTGGTATAAGTATCAGCCAAGGTTGGTTAAGTTTAAAGGAATAGTACACCCAAAACATGATTAGCCTTCATTTTCTACTCACCCCCATGCTGAACAACACCCTGGAGTACTTTTTTGATATCTCAAATGCATCTGGAGATCTGGGAGGCTTGAACATTGGTTATTCCCAAAACAACTTGAGTTGATCAAGGACATTCCCTGTTAGGTTAATATATCTTTCACAGGCCAGATAAACATTTCACAACAGCCATTTACCCCATTTACACAACCCTTGAAAAACCGTGCTGAGACCGGTCCGAGCTCAGTAACTCAGTAACTGAGATAACTTATCACGTGTAAATGGAAATCAAACTGAACTGAACCGAGCTAGACACAACCGAACCGAGCTAACTGCAGACCAGTTCCAGAGGTGAGCTCGGCTCGGTTTTTCCCTGGCTTGGTTCTCTGATAACAAGAGCGCATGAGCAGAACGCGTCATCTCCATCTGGCTGCACTTCCCGATTCACACTCCATTCCAGTAGTTGGCAGTAATGCACCTCCTGAAGTTGCTTACCAGCCAACACAAAACAGAAGAAGAACAACAACTATAAACAACTATCGAAATCTTCTCCAGGCAACTTTTTAAATATTGGCGCCGCCATTTTGATTTGCTTGATTCCCTCCTTCTTTGTCTTCTTCTTCTTGTGTTTTATGGCAGTTGCAAACAAATTTTGGTGCATTACTGCCAACAACTGCTTGATTTCCTCCTTCAATACTGGCAGCAATACCGCAGATCGTCACTAGGAGGCGAGGAACTGAGATGGCGTGATTTGTAAATGGTCATCAGAACCGAGCTCGGCCTGGTTAGCTGATCCGAGCTCGGACCGGTCTCGGCATGGATCGTTTTTTTAAGGGTAGTGTAAATGGGGTAATCTTCTGTTCACGGCATGAGGGAGTCTTAAGCACCTTAAAGGGCGTGTATCTATATTTCACCCTTGTCTAGAGTGAGGAGGCAACTGCTCTGTCATCCCTACTCTTAACTTCCTGCACAGAAACTGGTACAAGATTTCTCTAAAATCACTCTTATCAGGCCAAGAAAAAACATGCTTTAAAATAGCCAAGCGCAGGAAGTGGTTGCGCTGTCTCTGACTTTGACTCAGATGACCCTGATTCAACCCACCTCCAGCCCCTTCACCATCGTAGCTAAAGCTTCATCAGTGTCATTCCTCCTGGACTCTGACTGCCTTCCCTGGCCCATCTAAACTGGTCAGGCAGAAGACCGCCATGTTGAGCCTGGTTCTGCCAGAGGTTTCTTCCCAAAGGGGAGTTTTTCCTCTCCACTGTCTTTTCATGCTTGCCTATCATGGACAGGTCCATGCAACGTGTTATCCAAGCTGGACTTCCATCTTTCAGGTCCCCTAGTGAAACATTATGCAGTTCTCTGGATCTCTCCATACAGCAGTCATGGCCTGACCAACTTCATCTCCACTCCACTAATATTTCCTGCTGAGGTCTGAGTGCCCCAAGACTAAATTAACTGTATCAATAAAATTGTTCTACCTGTATTTTCTTTCTGTGTGAGTTTTTCAGACTGAGTTGATATCGATCCAATAAGGGAAACTGGGTTAATATTTAAAACAGATATTGACTGAAGCAGAGCAGCAACATCAGAACTGTGGTTGGTCTCTCATGGTGTCCAAAGGGTTCGGAAATACGTTTAATATTGGTTATACCGCTATTAATCAATTAAACAATACTGCAATTTAGAAGTGACTCACGTTTTTCGATATAAAGTTTTTACGCTTTGATTGGGTGGTTTCATCGCTCCCATTGAAATTCTTATATTTTGCAAAACTGCTTTGGAAATACTTTTAATCACATCGCATGAGTCCCTCCATCAACTGGAACTTACCTTCTTGTAAAAAGAAAAGAAGACTGGAAGTAGGTGGAGGATGATGGTGCCCACTAGAGCCGTGGCTGAAATATGGATTAATGTCTGTAACCGGGTTAATAAAAATAAACACAGACTAAGGTTTGGACACCTGCTAATATATAACCCATCTGATAAAACCCAGGCAGTGACACGTATTTCTACTGACAAAATATGAGGAAGTGCGCCTCCTAGAGATGGACCAGGGTCGAATATAGACTAATTAGCTGAATCGGACGTTGGATCAGTGATGCAGGAGGTTAGAAATGTTATTGTGGTTCGCCTCTGGGGTGTAGTTGGAGACCCAGAGAGTCTGGTCCATCCAATGGTATGCTCAGATTTATACATCTGATGTTTCTTAGATGCAGCCAGTTTCCAAATTATCAGCTTCTGTAAACTTTCTGTATGAAAACTGTTCTCTGTGCTGCTGCATGAGGCTACTGGTTATGAACATGGTGGTTGACCTCGTTGGAGGAGTCTTAGAATCCAGTCTGTGTTTAACCGCCAGCTCTCCTGTTGGGGCCATGTTTCCTGTCCGTCTGCAGGATCATGTGTAGAACTAGACTGAAGCTGTAGTTGACTAGAAATGTGCTTACAAACAGAATTTTCTTCTTCCTCAGATGAAAATCTTGTTTATTCATACTAAAACATTGGCTGCCACTGATTGGTCAAACCTTTTCCTGTTTTGCCCAAAAGTATCATGACTTTTTTGTTTTAGCTGCTTTCCGTAACCTGGGCCAGAACCTGTGGGGTCCCCATCGTTACGGCTGTCTAAATGACGTCCAGGTCAGCTGTGTCGTCTCTGGTCCCTGTGCTGCACACAGTCTCATCATGACCACTGAGGGGAAGCTGATGAGTTGGGGTAAGTTTCCTGATCCTTGAGCATCACTTTGGTTTTGAAGGTCCTGTTTCTACTGAAGGTGAAGGAGAAAAGGTGGAGATGTACACCAATAAGAACCGAGCCAAAGGGATAGTTGATGTTTTTCTTCTAAATGTCTAAAGTCCCGCCCACATCCTCCTCAGGTCGTAATGATAAAGGTCAGCTGGGTCATGGAGACACCAAACGTTTGGAGGCACCAAAACTGATTGAAGGTCTGGCAGATCAGGTGATCGTGTCTGCAGCCTGTGGAAGGAACCATACGATGGCGCTTACAGGTAGGCTGGTTCCCAGCAGCGATTACACTTTTACTCAAACCATACCTGCTGTACAGCAAATCACTTCTCTGACTGCCTTGGTGCATCATGGCAGAATCGCAAGCCGATTTTAAAGCAGTTTGTCTTCATGAATTTTATTTTTTTTCTTCAGATGATGGCACCGTTTATTCCTTCGGTGAAAACAAGCTGGGCCAGCTTGGCCAAGGCAGTCAGACCGATGCCGTCCTCAGTCCAGCGCCGGTGGGTGTGGGGTCGAACGAGGAGATCACTGGCACTTTGGGGGCTGTGCTACGATTTAAATCAACATGTTGTCCTCTTTTTCCAGATCTCCTACAATGGGCAGCCTCTGGTGAAGGTAGCCTGCGGTGCCGAGTTCAGCATGGTGGTGGACTGCAAGGGAAACCTGTACTCGTTTGGCTGCCCTGAGTACGGACAGTTAGGTAAAAACCCAGCTTTACTTTTTACTTCCTGTTCTTAAAATTTATTTCCTCCCAGACTTTGGATCGTCCCTTTTTAATGGTCTCAGTTTCTCCATGTCTCATTTGTCTTGTGTATAAATTTACTGAATTCTAATGTTCTGCTTTATTTACATGTCGCCTGGGAGTAAAAGTTAAAAAGTTACAAGGATTCTGCAGAAACATACCTATATATTTTTTTCAGGGCTTTAGATTTAGAGTAATTGAAGCTGTATGTGACCTTAAAGGATGATTGAGGGGGTTCAAGTTGACCCACCACTGATCCTGGGGAGCTGGCCATGAACCTCCTGACCAAAGGGAACTGTAGTGATGGGAGCCAACAGAGAAAAGGCTCTGGGTGATCGTTCAGTGTGGCTAAGATGTCAGCGGTAGATGCTAACATGGAGGATGGAGCTAGCCTGAGGATTTACAAAGAAAAGCTCTGCCAATAACAGAAAATGTCACCCAAGGGAACGCTGAGAATGTGTTAGAGATTAGTGTGTTGATTAATGTATAAACAGAGATCTTATTAGTGAGTTAAAATATTTACACAAACGTTGGAGACAAAAACCCCCAAAAACATTTAGTTATTTGTGGTTAAAAGCTCAAACATCAACTGGGGAATTCTGGATGGATCATATTTATTAAGTGGGTTTCTCATCCTAAAGTAAAAAAATTATCATTTTTTTTTTTTTTGGTACTGTCTTAGTTTGATTTATGTGACGTTGACTCAAAGATTACTCAACCCACCGGAAAATAAAACCAGTGTAGAAAAAGCTTAATTAAACTCTGTTTTAACGGCGACGCGGTGAGGCATTTAATGAGGGTAACATTGGCTGATCAGCAAACATTAATGTTTTATGGTAGCAAGAAACAAATTGACCTCAAAGCTCAGGTTTCTCACAGACAGAGATGCAATAATAATGAAAAAAAAAAAGTCATGGTGAACACTCTCACCTCGCTTTGTTTTTTAGGAATATATTATGGGCAGTCGTGGGTGAGCGGTTAGGGTGTCAGACTTGGATCTCAAAGGTTACCGGTTCGACTCCTGACCCGCCAGGTTGGTGGGGGGAGTAATTAACCAGCGCTCTCCCCCCATCCTCCTCCATGACTGAGGTACCCTGAGCATGGTACCGTCCCGCCACACTGCTCCCTTGGGGCGCCATTGAGGGCTGCCCCCTTGCACGGGTGAGGCATAAATGCAATTTCATGGTGTGCAGTGTTCACTTGTGTGTGCTGTGTCACAATGACAATGGGAGTTGGAGGAGTTTCCCAAAGGGCTTTTCATATTATACATATATTCCTAAAAAACAAAGCGAGGTGAGAGTGTTCACCAAAAATATAACCGCGGATGTCTACATGTTATGAATGCTGGCGTACCATAAAGAATAAATTATGAACAGTTTAGTTTGTGCCTTCAAGTCGTTGCCCATAGGAAGACGTTACTTAACAAAACCGAATATCTTTAGAACGGCTCCAAATGACACAAAACTCATATGGGTGAGTAGAACATGATGTAATAAATCAAAGGGCCAATGTAAAAAAAAAAACGGTGTTCCCCTTTAAGACAAGAAAATAAAGAATTGTTTTTATTATACGACTGAAACTATTGATGGTTTGATTATTATTGAAATAATCTTCAACTAATTTAGTAATCGATTAATCGTTAACTGGAGTATAGCGACTCTAAATCATGCCTTTAGCTGACTGTAGCGGCCAAAGTGGACTTTTAGCTTAAATAAATAGAAATTGCTTTAAAAATGCTTAAAAGGACAGATAATTTAATTTAAATTTCTAATTTCATAGATGGATATATTTCATGATTAAAATGATGTACAAATTTAGACGAATAAGAATTCATGTTTATAAGGTTACTTGGATTTTGGATTAAAAAATGTGTACTGTCGCTTTAAGGACGGACGCCGGCTTCCTCAGCCTCTCGCATTTTTATTTTTAGATTGCTAGGAAGCGAACAGTCTTCTTACCTGTTGCCCTTCAACTTCACAATAGACTTTAAATCTTTTTATTTTGATTATAGTATATTTTGTTAATTAATGTATGTTTTGTAAGCTTTAAGAAGAACACTAAACTTCAGTTTTCATCTTCAAGACGTTGTGGAGTGAATTTATTTCAATTACATGGACATTGACAGTGGAAACTGTAACTTTGGTTCGGAGAATATCGGTGTTAGAAATAGCACTTTCCTCGCGGTCTCACCAAGATCAAACCTCTACACTGACTTAGAGCAGAAGTTATACCAAGATTTAAAAAAATATATAAACATTCTGCATTTAAGATTTTAAAAAAACTTTTTCATCAGTCAATCTGCTCCTGAAGTGGAAAAGTTTTAGTTTAATTTTGTAAAAAGTCTTCTTTAAAGGACCTTTGACTATCCGATAATCAATTAATAGAAAACATTTTTGCATTGCTCTTTTCCCAACAAATCAGTTGCTGATTGGTCAGTTGCTGACTAGCCTCCAGGATTGAAGATTGTAGCATCATGTCAAATGTTGCTCTGAGATAATTGTCTCTTTACTTCACTTAATGATAGAGATTATTAAATTAGTGCATAACTTTAGTTATCTGATGATGGTTTTAGTCCCAGATCCTAGCAGCATGGTTCTCTGCAGACTTAGTTAGAGCCTAAAACTTGTTGCATCATTAAAAACTGATGTCTATGGAGCCCTTACCCTGATAGAGGTAAGAAATGTATTTTTCTGTCTCTACAGGCCACAACAGTGATGGGAAGTTTATCGCCCGAGCCCAACGGATCGAGTTCGACTGCGAGCTCATCCCCCGACGTGTGGCCATCTTCATTGAGAAGTCCAAGGACGGTCAGATAATGCCCGTACCCAACGTGGTGGTCAGAGACGTGGCCTGTGGGGCCAACCACACGGTGAGAGGCTCCCCCCTCCCCCTTCAGTTTTAAGGATGTCTGGCGGCGTATGCCAGTGCTCTGACACTTCATGTTCCCTGTGTGCGCAGCTGGTGTTGGACTCTCAGAAGCGAGTCTTCAGCTGGGGGTTTGGAGGTTACGGCCGTCTGGGTCACACAGAGCAGAAGGATGAGATGGTCCCCCGACTTGTAAAGCTCTTTGATTTCCCAGGACGCGGCGCCGCTCAGATCTTCGCCGGTTATCAGTGTTCCTTCGCCATAAACGAGATGGGTGAGAAAAGCAGTTCATTGAGACCCGTCCTGCAGCCAAAGAGGCGCTTTACTGAACGTCTGATTGCTGTCTTACAGGGGGGCTGTTTTTCTGGGGGGTGACTAACACCGCCAGGGAGTCCACCATGTACCCCAAAGCGGTGCAGGACCTGTGTGGTTGGAAGATCCGTAGCTTGGCTTGCGGGTGAGTCCAGCTTCTTCTCTAGCTGCTCCAGGAGGCGGCGCCCGCTCTTCCTCAGGATCTGAAGTCCCTTTCTGTTGTTTACAGAAAAAGCAGCATCATTGTTGCAGCAGATGAGAGCACAATCAGCTGGGGCCCCTCGCCCACATCTGGAGAGCTGGTAAAACTGATCATCATGGTTGCTGTGGTGCCGTGAGTCAGGGAGATGCTGAACTGACTTTTGTTCTTCTGACCTTCAGGGATACGGAGACAACAAACCCAAATCATCCACTACTGCTCAGGAAGTTAAGACTCTGGACGGCATCTACATCGAGCAGGTACATGAACAGAGGCGGAGGGCGGCCTCAACGCCAGACTATCCCTCCAATCCCAGGACTGAAGGCCAGAACAGGAGATGAAGCTTCAGACACTTTTAAAATAACTGATCAATTTTAGACCAAAAAGTAGTAAATTGAATTAACTCAAATTAAGGCCATTGAGGCAGTAAAATGTAACCAACACAATTTGACTTGGTGGTAATTTTTTTTTGTCACACCTTCAATATATTTTGACTTTGAGTTAAATTCACTCTGAAAACAAGAACATGTTATACTACAACGGCACCTTTGCTTTAGCAACGTTTTTAAAAAATTATGAGTTTTTATTCCTCATTAGTTTTAACATTTGGGTTTACAGTGTTGTTGACCCACAAATTAAAACCGGATTAAGCAGGTCAGAGAATGATCAAGAGATGTCTTACAAAGTGTGCAGAAAAACTATAAATCTTCCCATGAACAGTGTTGGCTAATCCCACTGAGCATCCACCAATCACAGCACTGATTAACTTTGTTTATGGCGCTACGCAGAGAAGTCCAAATGCAACCTTTCTGACGGCAACTTCAGATCAGAGCTGAGCTTCTCCGGTTCCTTAAAACTGAAACTTAACTTTTAGAACCTGATGCTCAAATGATGGCATAGAGCCGCTCCAAAAGACTCACACTTAGCCAAGAGCCTGTGTGTATGAATGTCTTACCCAAAAAATATGCTAAAAGGTTTTTAAAACGACGATTTTCGCAAATATAAAAAAAAAGTGCGTGCAAGAGCCCATTTCTCCTCGTGCGCACTCTGTTAAAATGTGCTGTTCTCATAGCTCATACGTGCTCACTGTCTCCGAACGTCCACCCTAAATCCCTCAATCGCTATATAGAGCGGGGACTATATAGTGGAATTTATAGGGAACTTAGTTAACTGACAGTCACTCACTGCTTTTTGCTCCTCCACTGCGCAGTGCCTGTGCCACAGCAAATCCCAAAATACTTTGTGTGGAAAGGTGAGCTTCAATGACTCTGAAACCTTAGCTCACCACAGATATACGGCTGCAGGTGCGCATGCACAGATAGCTGACAGGACGAGCACGTAGGGTGGCCTTATGTAAACATATCACCAGAATGATTCAGTTATGGAGGACCACTTATTTAGATGATCCACCCAGAAAAATAACATCCTGTACTTTACCTTTAATCTCATATTGGTAGTAAAAATATTGTAGAGGAAATAAACTCAAAAGGAATTACTGAATTAACCGTGTAGGGTGATCAGTTTTAAAATGTGCTGTTTTAAAATGTTTCCTCAGGTGGTGATGGGTTACTCCCATTCACTGGTCATCGCCAGACAAGACACCGATCAGGACAGGGAGAAACTGAAGAAGCTGCCGGAGTATAACCCCCGAACAATCTAAGAAGCCCCGCCCCCCCAGTTGGCATCCAGCTGACACTCCTGGGAGGGTTCCATTCAGGAGGAGGTCGCACAAAACATCTCGACTACCAGCAGACTGGCTGCATACAATTCGGACTCTAAAATCAGAGAAGGTGGAGGCAGATGGATGGTCCACCTTCAAGCGACCTGCAACGGTTCACTCCCAGCACTTCGGTCTTTGCAGTCATGCCCCCCCCCCCAAAAAAAAAAAAAAATTCTAGTAGTTCTCCTTTTATTTTCCACTCTAACATTCTTCTTCTGTTGTTTGAAAATGTTGTAATGTTTCCTGGTGCTACAGCAGCTGTTGGGTTGCTGAGGGGTTTTAGAGACCAACGCTCCATACCTGTGCCTTTTTCTACGTCCATGTTCAGGGTATGGAGGTTTAGGTGAATCAGTTGATTTTTGTTTATTTTAGCAGTGGGAGGCTGTATGGATTCTGCTGCCACTGGTTGCAAACAGAACCTGATGTTCTGACTTGGTGCACTCCACCTGATGTTACATTCCTTTAATCTTCCTCCTTCAGTATCCTGGATACTCGCTCCATATGCAGAGCCTGTTAGCTCAGTCTTCATCTATATGAACTACTCCGACGCTCAAAGCGGATTCACGAGCAGGCCAGAACTGATCCGATCTTAGCAGGCAGAGTTCTGTTTGTACTGCATTCTATTTTTATGATATTTGTTTGTTTTTTTCATGGCAATGATTAAATAAAGATCAATGTAAAAATGGCTTCCTCTCCTTGTGGCGCCTTAATGGTTTATAAGCTTCAACTCAGACTTTTTTCCCATACTAAACTGAAATAAAAATTTAAAAATCAGCAAATTTTTTTTTTTCAGTGGCCCTAATCCTCTTTGTAAATAGAAGTAGAAAGTCTGACTTTTTTCGCAGAATGTTGACAATTAAAAAAAGTCAGAATTCTGACTAACTACTAAATAAAAATTTAAAAATCAGTTAACTTTTTTTTTTCCCAGTGGCCCTAATCCTCTTCCGTATCTATTGGATTCTGTTTCCCAAACAAAATCCAGCCTGCTCCAGAGCTGTAGTTCTGAGAAAACAGAAATTCTGTCATTTTGTTTTATATTTGTAATTGAACTGTTTAGGAAAAAACTATATTGACCATCAGAGAGATACAGTTGTAGTCCTCCTGTCCAGATGAAAGTCTGAATGCAACCTGCCCAAATAGCGATGTTCATCAGTGCAGATGTGGCCAATAAAGCTGGAGTTTTTGCCCATTTTCAGTCACAGGTTAACATCTTGCAGATGTTTAAATTCAACTCAAGCAGGTGTCTAGAAATGAAAAGTATCCCCTGCAAATCTCGTCCAGGAACACCGATGCATCGGCGCATGTGTCAAGCTGATCAAGCAACACCATTTCACATGACTGTGAGCTGTTAGGAACTGACTGATGCACACCGTCTGCTGAAGAAAATAGGATCTTTTGCGATTCTTCATCAAATTAATCAAGAAATATGGAGCAGCCTCAAGACAAAATAAATGTTTGACCATTTTGATCTTGTATGTTTTAGTTATCCTGTTCCTCTGTTATCACTCAAGTCATCAGAATTTAGGTTTAGTCTACAGTAGTTTAAAATAATTTTAAAGCATTCCCATGCTCACCTGATTTTTTTTTTTTAACGAATGAAATAAATGAAAATCAGTCAGTTTATTCTGTCAAATAGGCTGCATGTAGGGCTTTTGAAGTCCAGCAGTTGTCAGTACTGGGTGAAAATATCAATACAGTTTGCATTGTGTGGAAACCACTGATCTCTATTTATTCACTGGGTTGCTGATTTCCTGAAAAAAGTGAAGCCACCAGCCGGCATATTGGTACGCCCCACTCATGTGTAGCATTTGACTGCATATATGCTGATGTCCCTTCAGTATGTAGTGTAACATTAGTCTGGCTATCTTTGACCGACTCCAAGATAATGTCAGTTAGCCATTGACATTATGTCCAACGTTAGAAAATAGAGTAAATAGAAAATAATTCACTGTGAAATGTCAATGTAATTAAGTGGATGTCGTTTTTTTAGTGTTTTTCTCATTTGAAAAATTTGTGCATATTGCATAATATTGATAACCTGACAACAGCCAGATGCATGTCTCGCTCATGCATCTGGCTGTTGTCAGGTTATAATATTGATGGAAAAAAGCTAACATTTTTAAAGGCTAATGCTTAGACACGACATAAAAGTATAGGGCATCATTCTTGCATAATTTGCAAATAGAAAAATACTATAGAATTAACAGATGTGCTTGTAATTCAGTCTTTATGTAAAATGTTGAAATATGTTATGCAAGTAGAATCAATTTAACACTTGGCACATCAGTATTATTCTCAACACATTAATATTGTGATGGTTTGTTTTGTTATATTACATGATTTGACTTCATAATGACTGCAATGTAATGTAGCCATTTTATTTTAAATTATAGGTTAAACTACTTATCTACTTATACTATAAAAAGTGTTTGTGTCCCCTGAAAGTGACAGTGTTCAATGCCATGGCGCACATATTTACATTCCGACTGGTCTAACAAGGGAGTACCAATATGGCGGCAGGTTGCTTCACTTCAACCCTGTACTACCAACAGGGTATCAGTAATCCAGTGAATAGAGATCAGTGGTAGAAAGTCTTCATGACACCCCAACAACCCATCACTACAGGTTGGTTCTACATGGTTTAGATCTGTGTTCCTTAAGGTCCCATCAGGCGATCAAGCAACTTGGCTGCAGGTTAAAGGCCAACAGTCAAACGACTCAGAACGGCTGGTATCAACTTTAAGACATCACAGACAAGACTTTTGGACTGTAAACAAATTTATTTAAATCTACAACATCAGCCAATTTAATCTTCATCCTCCTCCTCTTCTTCGTCCTGATTGATCTGGAAGTAGCGCAGCTCGTAGCTCTCCTTGGTGTTTGCAACGACACGCAGCCAGTCACGAAGGTTATTCTTCTTCAGGTACTTCTTCGTCAGATACTTCAGGTATCTGCAAAAAGAGTGATAAGCTTCAATTGGTTGCAGAGAGGTCAAATCTAAAAACAAGGATTTTTCACAAAGAGCTTCTCCGTGGGACAAGCAGAAAACATATCTGACAGGAATACCAGGATTTTCACCAAATGGACTCACCATATCAAGTAGTTCTTCTAAAAAACTAAAAACCCCAAAAAACAAGTATAAAACCTTTAATCTCTTCTTTGCAGCGCTCCTTAAAAGACTCCACAGCTGTAGCTCCAAACCAACCCTGATCAGCATCATAAACTACATCTACTCACATCCTCCAGTGGATCAATAGTTACTGATGCTCTCATGGAAGTACTGAACATTTATTTTCTACTTTCCAAAAAATATATTTTCCACAATGATAATTAGACACCTCTATGGATTTTGAACCTTCCAGATAAATCAGAATCTGATTTTGTTCCCTACCTTCCAGTAGGACATTCCCTCATACTACTGAGCACCAGGTGAAGGAAACGGAACTCCATACTAATGAAATGAAGCCAAATAGACCAAACACGTCTCATTTGTTCACTGAAACCCAAATAGGCAGACAATTTGGGCTGAAGTGCCTTGCCTATAGGTATGCGGCAGAAGGAAGTTTGCATTGATGCCACAGCAGATCACTACTCTCCAACAGCCAGGAATGGCTGTGTACAAAGTCTAGGACACATAACTGAGGGTGTGGATAAGAAGTGTTTTTGGCAACATATCGTGATTTTTGGCTGCTTGATATATTGATCTTTTAAATCCTAGTATCGATTTTTTTAAAAGCAAAACATTTTTACCTAAAACTGAGGGAAAATAGGCGTCCTTTTTACCGCCACTCTGGCAGATAGTGCTGTGGAGCCCTTTTGCTGTGTGCTGCAGCGCTATATCTGTAGTTGAGGCGATCAAAGGGGAAGACGTGGACTGACAAACGCCAAGCAACGTAGATACCAAAATAACTGAACGATCAATATCATCTGGTGAACATATGCAGAGGTTTCTTTTTAATCTATAGATTCATTTTTGAAAAAATATCAAAATAAATCCTGCAATATAGTGATATCATATTGTGACGTGTATCGCATCGCAAAAACCCATGCCAATACTTGCCCCTACAGATGACCTGTAGTCTGAGCTCTGAACGCAGACATTGGCCATTTTTAAGCTTAAGTCATAAACATCTCATGTGTTTCTAAGAGCATTTTAGGCACCATCATAACATGTTACCAAAACCTCCTGAAGTATTTCATCTTCACTCCCTTCATCCAACCAGCCTGTTGGGATCCTAATTAACTTATTTTGAAAGAACAATCAAAGAATTTTCAGGAAGTTACTGGCTTCAAATGAGTGGAGCTTTTAACAAATGTGGGGTTAAGCCTCCTGCAGCTCCATCTCTAAAGACAAAACTATGCTGAAGTAAGGCCAACTTTTAAATGTTAACTCTGGACTCATCTGCTGGCAGCTTCATGTGGAAGGTTTTAATCTATTTACCTCAGTGATCCTTGAGGAACGCCCCAATCACATTTTTTTTTTTGCAAAAAAAAAAAAGAGCAAATCATCTAAACAAGAACATCACAGGTACATCCGCACTCTGCAAGAACGGAATCATGTTAACAGTGATGGCAGGAGATAAACAGCTGACTAAAGAAGCTCAACCATCACTGCAGGTGTCCCCATCCCATTAGTCCTGCTACAGTTTAACATGACTGCATGGCTCTTTGACAAAGTTCATATTAACCATCAGTATAGACCATGGGTTTCATGTCCCTTTAAAGCTTACTGTATTCGTTTGCTCATGTTTGTCCTGCTGGTGTAATTTTCTGACATTTTTAACGCTGCCAGATTTATAATGGCAGAATAAGACTCCTCTTTTTGGGGCAACTTTCAACCCAGACAGACCTGCAGAACAAAAACAGAGCAGAAAACGGGGCTTTTTCTCTTTACCTTTTGGAGAAAGGAACCTCAGAGGAAACTGTAATCTTGCTCTTGCTCCTCTCAATGGACACCACACCCCCGCCAAGGTTGCCAGCTTTCCCGTTCACCTTGATGCGCTCCTGCAGGAACTGCTCCTACAGATCAAACACAACGTTTTGTTTTTAATCACAGATTAGGAATCATTTCAATAAAAAGGGACAAAGCTGGAACCGAAGCGCTTTCAAAGAAAAACAAACAAACAGAGGAAACATAGCAGGTTCTTTCTCCTAGGAATTAACTAGCAATAATAGCAGGAAACAGTATGTTATGATCAGTTTTTTTTAATGACCGATAAACAATTCCATCAATTTGATGAACATGAGTCCGTGTTAATAAAATGTGGGCAAATTTGGTGTTTAGTCTTTCAGTTTGCAGCTTTCGCTGTGATCGTCACACCACCCTAAACCTTCCTTAACAGATCGCTTCCTCCTTTGCATCATGAGTCATTTGGATGGAAACGCTGAGATACATGCAGCTTTTAGAACGGCAGCGTGGGTCACAGAACCAAGGGGGTGGATTACATGTTTCACACAAGTACAGACATTAAAAGTGTAAATTATTTTTACCTATAACCAATACTCTATACCAGGCATCCACAAAGTCAGACCTCAAGGGCCGCTGTGCTGCAGGTTTTAGAGGTTTCCCTGCTCCAGCACAGCTGATTTACATTGATAATTGATTAACTGCAATCATCAGAATCAGCTGCGCTAAAGCAGGGAAACCTCTAAAACCTGCAGGACAGCGGCCCTCCAGGACCGACTTTGGGGATGCCTGCTATATACGGTCCATGTGGGGCGACAGTGGTGTTGGATGTTGGAGTTTGCCCTGAAATCGAAGGGTTGACGGTTCAAGGACCGTCTCTGACTTTCATCATCGTTGTGTCCTTGGGCAAGACACTTCACCTGCATTGTCTACTGATGGTGGTCAGAGGGCCCGGTGGCGCCAGTGTACGGCAGCCCCGCTTCTGTCAGTGAGCCCCAGGGCAGCTGTGGCTACAATGTAGCTTGCCACCATCAGTGTGCGTGAATGGGTGAATGAATGTAGTGTAAAGCGCTTTGGTCAAGTCTCCTGACTTGAAAAAAGGTGCTATACAAGTACATGCCATTTACCATGTTGTAGGCTTGTCCCGATCCGATACGTGGATACGTATCGGATTTAATGACTTAATGATCGGCATGTAAAATGCCGATCCAGACTGCCGATCCAGTTTTTAAAAAAAAAATCTGGTCCGTATTTTCCAGTTTCGCCAATTGAAACGATCCATTCCACTATTTTGCGCCAGTGTTCCCCTGTTTTGCATTTTTATTAAAACTTACAGTAATACTTGCACCTTTAACTGTTTACGGTTTTACTGCTCACTGTGCAATTTCAGATTGCTATTCATAATTTTGTCCAGTTTGTGTTTATCTCTTAATAAACAGGTAAGTTTGTTGTTACCAAGCATTGTGTTTTATTCAATCTCACCTAATTTAGCTGGTTAGATGTTATCAAGAGTACTAAAACCCTTTTCAACATGAGTCTTACAACTAAGGCTAAATACTTTAACTTAAATACATGCTCGGATAGGCTGGTATCGGCTAGTATCGGTATCGGATCGGAAGTCCAAAAACAATATCGTATCGGATCGGAAGTGCAAAAACCTGGATCGGGACATCTCTACCATGTTGTAAACCTCATGATTTGGGTCAAAATGTGTTTTTTTTCATAAACAAAACCATAGTGTGACATGCTCAGAATGTTGACCTGAACCAGGATCTGCTGATCCTCATGTCTTTTTCAGGGTTTATACAGAAATGATTAACTCTGATTTAATGACTTTTAATGCTCTTAGAAATAACTTTAATTCCATCAACAAATACCCATGACTCTCATATATATACAAGACAAATTCCTTCATCTTTTCCGTCGGCAGGCTGCAATTCCTAAATTTCCAGCCACTTTTGTTGAAATTAGCACTTTCCGCATTCTCTAGCCTTTATTCCGCAGTGAGCTTCTTTTCCCAACATACGATACATTTACGATCAACCGGAAGCAGTTCCGTGCAAATATATTGCGATATATTTGCAAATATATATATTGTTTAAGTATTTGTTTTATAAACTTTTTAAAAAAAAAATAAGGCATTTTAAATGCCAAAATCGTTGCATTTAATGAATGTTAATGTCAAATCAGGCCTTAATTTCAAAACTAGTTATTTAATGACTTAATGATTTTTAATGACCCGCGGAAACCCTGTTTTTAATCCTGGAAAATCACTTTTAAGGAAGACATTTGTCCCTGAATTATTAACATCTGGATCTATTCCCAGAGGCCATCAGCTGCAGTTCATCCTTTCCTCTTTCCTTTAATTCGCTTGTGCTCTGAGAAGGTTGTAAGCAGCCGGTTCGAATCCCACCGCCTCCACTCTGGGTTCCTGAGCAAGACCCGTAACCCCTGATTGCTACCCGGGCGCCGCACAATGGCAGCCCGCTGCAGAGGTATATTTCTCCAATGTGAAATAAAGTTCAGTAATGATAAAGAGATGTTTTCTCCTTTAGATTCCATGGCTGGGCGGCAGGAAAGCAGAACTTACAAAGTTAGCAGCATCCATGATGCCATCTTCAACAGGATGGGTGCAGTCCAGAGTGAACTTCAGAACCTGCTTCTTCTTCTTCCCACCTTTGCCGGTGTTCTGCTTCTTCTGCTAAAATGAGAAAAAATAAATAAATAAAATTAGCACACGTGTTCAAAACCTGGGCTAAACTTTGGGCCGGTTTAATCCGGAGACAAAACTGAAAACATCGGGGAACCAAATATTGACTCTGATCAATCTTTAAGGTTTTACTGATTTAGTTCGGCTCAGAATCCGGCTTCAGATAAAAAGGTTATGAAATAAATATGAACTTAAGCCAATCAGAAAAACATTAAAGCTTTGTAATTTCTAAGGAACCTCGAAGCTTTCAGCTGAGGAACAACGTGGTGAGTTTGAAGCTAACTGCTAACAGGCCGCCCCAGAAACAAACTGAGTAAAACCGCCTCAGAACCGAACTCCAGCGGTAAATTCACACACAAAACCCCCTAAAGATGTTCAGCTTTCACTCCAATCGTTCACTCCGACTCTCACTCGGAGTATTAAGCAGTAATTGAGGATATAATAGCAGCGCAGTGGACTTACAATAGGCGCCATGGCGGAGAAGCTAGCAGAAAGGAAGAGCCGCGGTGCGCATGCGTGAAAAATCGAATCCAGAGTCATTGATTGGATCCTGGTATCTGTTATTGATTACAAACCCTGGAAGAAACGCATCCATCATTAAAGCTTTAACTGGATGCATTCAAACACCTTCTGCTTTATGTTCCTGATCTGCATTAAGTTCCAGCAAAACATTTGAATTTGACATAAGTTTAAAACTTTTAATACTTCATAATGTTCTAATGCTTTTTATTTGTCTCTCCATCAGACTGACTGGAATATTGAAACTTGAGTAAAATATTCCAGTGATCCAGTTTATATCAGATCAAAATGTTTGCATTTCATTTTGAAATCAAGTTCAGAGTGAATGTTTTAAATCCAGTGAAGTCTGATGGTTAGGGTATCTTCTGCTAGTTCTGGTCCACAGTCATTGCTGACATCTAATAGGACACTTTAGAGTTCTTCCCTTCATGAAGATGCTGATCCCATTTCATTCAATGTGGGAAACTTGAACAGTGGCTGGTCAGACAGTTGTTAACATGTTAGGGGTGGAGAGGACCAAATACAAACAAAGAATTTAACCAACAAACGATGGCCAGACTAGTATAAATCAAACAAGAAAATGCAATTTAACTGAAAATGTAACTAGGGCTGATGGATGGAAACATAATGACCCAGAGGTGTTCTATTGGATTAAGATCAGGCGAGCCTGGGGGCCAATCAAAGGTATAAATTCCTTCATCCTCCAAGAACTGCCTGCATACTCTCGCCACATGGGGCTGCATTGTCGTGCAGCAGGAGGAACCTGTATAGGTCTGTGCGTCCCTTCATGGATAAACCTCCCCAGGCAATCACTGACCCACCACCAAACCGGTCATGCTGAACGATGTTACAGGCAGCATAACATTCTCCAAGGCTTCTCCAGACCCTTTCACGTCTGTCACATGTGCTCAGGGTGAACCTGCTCTTATCTGTGAAAAGCACAGGGCTCCAGTGGCTGACTTGCCCATTCCGGTGTTCTGTGGCAAATGCCAGTCGAGGTCCATGGTGCCTGGCAGCGAGCACAGGGCCCACTAAAGCAGTGTTTTTCAGGGCACCCTGCTCTGCATGTTTTGTATGTTTCTGAGGTTCAGCACACCTGATTCAGATGTTTGCAGTTCAGCAAAGCCTGATAATCTGCTATCAATTGATAACAGGTGTGTGAAAGCTGGGAAACATCTAAAACATGCAGGGCAGGGTGCCTTGAGGACCAGGGTTGAAAAACACTGAGGACTTGGGGCCCTCAGGCCACCCTCGTGAAGTCTGTTTCTGATTGTTTGGTCAGAGACACTCACACCAGTGGCCTGCTGGAGGTCATTTTGTAGGGCTCTGGCAGTGCTCCTCCTTGCACAAAGGAGCAGATACAGGTCCTGCTGATGGGTTGTAGACCTTCTACAGCCCTGTCCAGCTCTCCTGGAGTAACTGCCTGTCTCCTGGAATCTCCTCCATGCTCTTGAGATAGTGCTGGGAGACACAGCAAAACTTCTGGCAATGGCAGGTATTGATGTGCCATCCTGGAGGAGTTGGACTGCCTGTGCAACCTCTGTATGGTCCAGGTAGCGCCTCATGCTAACAGTAGTGACAGTGACCCTAGCCAAATGCAAAACTGGTGAAAAAGTCAGAAAAGATGAGGGGTAAAAAATGTCAGTGGCCTCCACCTGTAAAACCATTCCTGTTTTGATGGTCGTCTCATTGTTGCCTCTCTAGTGCACCTGTTGTTAATTTCATTAACACCACAGCAGCTGAAACTGATTAACAGCCCCCTCTGCTACTTACCTGACCAAACCAATATCCCAGAAGTTTAATTAACTTGATACTATACTCTGATTACAAAGTGTTGCTTTAATTTTTTTGAGTAGTGAAGGACTGTTTTACAGGCTCTATACTCCAGTTAATAAATCGATTACAGATTTAGTTGATTATTTCAATAATCGATTAATAACAATCGGATTACATTTTTCAGCCCTAAATTAAAAAGTTTAAAATATGTAGTCGTTTCAGAATGGAAAATAACATTAGACACCATCTTAGAGCCACATGTGTGGCAGCGGCTGTAACAATGATTTTCAGATGCTGAATTGTGTGGTTTGTTTTTTTGTGGGAGTTAGTTACAGCAAATAATGACTTAAAATTTGATATGCTATCTGTAAAAAAAATTAAAAAACAAATAAAATAAAATGCATAAAAAAAAACATTTTTCCACTTCTTTTAGTAGATGCCTTTTAGTTTTGGGTACATTTTAATCGACTTCACCAACTGCAATTACGTCCCAAACACATCAGTAATATTCCAGTAAATAAGGACAGAGTCGTTTAGATAATAATCGTATCTTTATTTCATACAAGCAGTGCCCAATAAATGCAGTTTTCAGTTAAAGTGGAAAACCATCCATAAAGATTCTCTAAACAGTTCAAATGCAGCATAAGATCTGTGTGTGTATGTGTGCACACAGACACCTTTTTATCATCTCCCACAATGCACTGTGCCAAAAAGCTACATGTGTCACATTATATGATAAACATTAAACATCACTTTTAATCAAACATGACTTCCATTTGGTCAAACTGGATCAAAGCCCCTGAATTCTGGATTTGTTGAATCTTAGCAGATAGTCAGGTCTGCACTGGAGAACAGACCAAGCGACGTGGTGGCGAAGGAAACCTCAAAACTCAGACTGGATTTGGAGACTAGAACTGCTCCAATCTAACCTGAGAAAACATTTTGGCAGGGGGGTAAAAAACTAAACCCTGGCAGCAGAGCCTGGGCTTCCTCCTGTCATCCATCTTTGCTCCAGAAATTTAACAGAAGTAAGAATAATGGACCAGCTTCGATCAGAGCTCCAGTCATAATCATTAGTTCAGGGGTCTGCAACCTTCACAACCCAAACAGACACTATTTTTTTTTCCTGATGAAAAAAAAAAATAAAACAAAATCAAACAAAAAATTAGGTGGAAAGTGGAAAGAACTGTAACAAATGTTGTTTCCAACTGAATGACCAGAGAAATAAAAAGAACTTGTTTGATCAGTCAGCCTTTATTTCCTTCATTTAGGATATCGATGTGAAAATTATCTGATCCATTCTGCAAAGGCTGTGTTCTAAAACTGTATCTTGTTCAGATAAAACAATTACTGTTCATTTTTTTAAACAGAAGGAACAATGTGACCTTATAGAAACTGTGATGAACAAAAATCAATATCGGTCAAAATTAGATTTGCCATATCCGGCTTTTTCAGGACCAGAAAACTGCTTATCATTGCACCTACACTAAAACATGTTACTGTTGTGTTTCATGTCATTCTCTAATACATTTAAAAGTTATTCAATAGAAGGTTGAAAAAAAAATCCTTAGGATTTACTTAAGAGTCTTGTGAAGGGTTTCTGTGAAAGGTCCAAGGCTGCAGACCCCTGCATTAGTGACAGCAGGTCACCTCTTTACAAAGAGAGAAAAAAAATAAAAAGGACAACCACTTTAAAGAGTCGTAGAAATCTCTCCGTTCTGGCTTAGATAGAAATCATCTGATCATACAGCGGATACCAACGCCAATGTGGAAACCACTGGTTTTAGACCCGATTGTTTCTCAACCAGAGGAATGAAAACAGGCGGTACTTTGCTTTGACCATGGCTATAAATGTCACATATTTCACACCTGCTGCAGAAAACAAAGCTCTACCTGCTCAGGCTGAAAATCTATGTTCTGAGCAGGACTGTGTGGCGGCCATGAACGGGCGGTGGCTGCCTGTAGGGAACCTCTGTCATCCAACTTTTGATATAATCTCGGTTTCAGATTTAGAAACTTACGAGGGAAGACTTCATGATCAGACATAAAGAGAGGAGGTCGAGTCTTTGTCAAATTCATCCAGACTACGATTATTTATACACCTAAAGAAAAATACAGAGTTAAGATGCTTTAATGCAACATGAATTCACCTAGAAACGTCTGCAGCTTAATACTTTGGTCTGTTTGCGGCTGTAAAAAACTCTCGGTAGTTTCCTCAGGGCCACTTGGGCCTGGCTGCTCCCTGTCATTCAATCTGAGGATTTAGGAGACGTTAGAGATACACCGGCATGTCCAGGTTTGTGCTACAATGGTTCAGATGAGGAGTCCTGTCATAAATGATCAGTGTAAAAAGAAGAAAAAAAAGCTGCTTCAATCTTTAAAAATAAATGTAATCACGTTTCTACAGCCTGAATCACATTCAGATGAAAACGTCTCCATGACGACAGTGGCTTTGAGGATTGGAACAGCCTGCACCACGAAGCGCCATCATGTGGTGGGTTTGTGGACCAATATGATGCCGATGAGGTGGAAATGACACGACACCAGATGATGAGACCCAAACCCTGAGAACTATAAGGGAATTCCCACAGCTCCCAGTTCCTACACCAGTTCAGTCAAACTATCAGTTCAAGAGATTAACGAAAATCCCTGTATGACATCATCTCCTGTTCTGCACTAGTTTTATAAAGAGGTGAAGATCAGGAGGTGAAATCACTCTACTTAAACCATTTATCTATTCTGCCTCGAGCTTCTCACTGAGAAAATTAAGAAAAAAAAAAAAAATCAAAAAAACATAAACCTCCAGCAAGCTTTTACACATTTCAGCCTCCCAGAACCAGAAATTACCAATAAATTTGAAACAGGAACTCCACTTTTACCCATTGGTCCTTTTTTATGGTGATTTCACTCTCTCTGCTTTAACTATTCTTGTAAACAATTATTCCAGTAAGAAATAATGAGCTGAAAAGAGAAGCAGGATGATCTCTTAAAAAGAAAAAGAAAAAAATCAATATTCTGCATGACTCTCTTCTCCTTCTCCACAGCCAGACGGCTCAGCTCTCTGGTTGCTCAGAGTGACGGAACATAGAATAAAAGAGCAATATGCTAAAATGAGAAAGTGCACGATACACCACGACTCCAACAGTATATAAATATCTTCACGTTGATGCTAAATGAAAAACAACATCCTGGTCTTTTAAAGTCCTTGTTATAAATATGGATCTTGGTTTTATGCCAAATCCTGATGGGCTGTAGAAAACATACATCAACAGATCATCTAAAAACCTTAATTGGGTTCTCATTCACTTTAGAAACATTTATATTGCTAATTTTCTATGAAACATCTGTTAAAAAGAAAAGAAAGAACCGGACCTATGACACCGAAGGGTCCAGGCAAAGCGCTGATCCTTAAACCCAACAGATGGGCAGAAACCGGTAACCATGGTGAAAGCATGCAGACAGAAACAGGTGAGATGAAAGGAGGAAGAGTAGAAAGACGTGAACATCTGAGGTTCTCTGTTCTGATACTGGATGTTGGTAGAAAAGGAGCAGCCCAGCTGCCTCGGTGGCTCTTGGTGCTACAGAACCTCAGCCAGTGGCAGACGCTCACCTCCAGGGGGCAGCAGCTGCTACAGCAGACAACACATCACCACCAGGTCTGGCCTGCTTTGGAGCTCTCAGTCTGTTGGGCTCAGAGTCCAGTCTGGGTGCTAGTTGACGCGGATGCCAGAGATGAAGGGCAGCCCGGTGGAAACCTTCCTCTTGTACTCCACGTAGTCCTCAGCAAAGAAATGGATAAGGGACAGTTCCTCCTCCTCTATCCGCTCCCGAAAGAAGCGCCAGCTGGCTATCGTGTAGCCCACGATGCAGACGGGGTTGCACAGCATGACCTGCAGGAGCAGATGCTCATCAGCAATCGAGACAACATGGCAGCAAACTAACCAATTCAATTCAGTTTCATTTCTATAGCGTTAATTCACAACAGCTGTCATCTCAAGGCTGTTTACTGAGACAATTCAACCAGATCATCCAGTCAGATTGGTTCAAAGTTTTCTATGAAAGAAAAACCAAGTGATTGCATCGACTCATCGCCAAAAAGGCAATCCCTCACACCAAGCATGTTTGTAGCGACAGTGGAGAGGAAAAACTCCCTTTAAACAGGAAGGAACCTCCAGCAGAACCAGAAAAAGTGATTTCTGTATCTAATATTAATTAAGCTTTAGATAAGAAAGTTCATTATAAGGTCAAACAAAAAAAGTTACTTAAGTTTTGTTATGCAAGTAGCGGCCAGCTTTATATAGACTGTTAATTCCTCCATCCAGAGTTTTCATTTTTAAAACTGGGTGGTTCTCTTTCATCTGCTAAAATACTTTAGATTTAAAAACTAAGTTAATATTTGCATTAAATCCCCTAAATCTCTGTAAATCCATCGTGATTCCGTCTCAGACCAAACTACTTTTACAATATTCATCGAGCAAAATATGAACCTGAAAGGAATTATGGGTAAACAATATTTTCAGGAATACAGAAGCAAACTTGCCAAAAAAAGCACTTCTTTCAGGACATGAAACAAACACTTGAGATCACACAGCCAATTGGTCTAGCGCTGAAAAATGTCATGGAAACAATGTCCGTCTTAATTCTAATGGTAGGATCAGAGGAAAAAATCTCACCTGAGTTCCTATGCTCCAGTAGAACCAGCCCACATAGGACGGGTGTCTGAAGTAGGCGTAGACCCCAGTGGTGACCAGTATGTGGCTCTGGGCTTTCTCATTCTGGACGATGTGGTTGAAGTTGGAGCCGGCCGTCAGCATGGCTGCTTTCCGCAGCGCCTCGCCGCACAGCACCATGACCAGTCCAACCAAACTGAGCCAGTTTAGATGCTTCAGCTCTGTGAGGAGACACAGGGGTGAGATCCGGACACAGGGAAGGTCACATCGCTTTGGAAAAACATCTTAGGAAGCCTCTTAAAAGTAGGCTAAACTTCCACATCGACAGATTCTCCTCATTTATCTGATTTTAGTTTTTCCTGCCACCAAAAACTTCAACATTTCAAGTAAAAACTCCAAACAGAATCCACCAAATAAAGATCATTCCCAGGCTGAGGTCAGTTAGGCCAACTTATCAGGCATGAGATTATAATCACTGCATATAAACACCTGGAACTGACTGCGCTGCATAAAGAACCCCCCCTGATAAATCAATCCAACTCCACGCCAGCAATGGTACTTAGGGCAGCTGTGTGGATGCCATTAATCTCATCCTTCAGGTTGAAGTTTGGAAGGAAAAATATCATCTCAATAAAACCCAAAATTGGACCCAACAGGAAAAGGCAGCTCAACCAGCCGCCTAAAGTACCTGGAACAGTGAGCTTCTCCACAGTGAACTCCAGCCATGAAGACACGGCGGCCAGTGTGTACTCCACGCTGTGGTTGAGCAGAAAGGAGTCCAGCGACAGGCTGCGAGGGTTAATGACGGCCGTCACCAGGTACTCGGAGTAATGGAAGAATGACAGTGAGCACATGTACCTGCAAGACGACACATTGGGACACATATTTACTGCTGAGAAAAGAGGCAAAAAACATCGATAAAACCCTGAGGACATGCTGGCTCTGATAGACATCAGTAGGAGGAAAGATCTGTTAAAGTGGATGGATTTGAGTGGAGGACAGTAATCCAAACAAATCAGAAAACAAATGCTGGAGAATGTAGGAAAACAATCTAATATCAGTTCTCCTGCTCAGTTCAGCATCTATAGTAAAATAATGTAGGAGGCCCATCCAACATTTCCATAAATAGGGAATATATGCAACTCAAACAATAAAATATAATCCAAGCCGTCATTCACTTCTCAACATATGAAGCAATCCTACCATCAGCCGTCCTGATTACATGTGAGGTCATTGAATGAGACGAAAATCAACCCATAACCAAACAAAGAGCTCATATTAATACATACCAGCCAAAGTGCGTCCAGGTGGTGTCAGAGAAGCTGATGATCAGGCCGCAGCCGAACGTGACTCCCAGGAAGCAGGCTCTCACAGCAACCTGCCACCGTCAGGAGACTTCTGTTAGCATTGTACTGAAAGTAGCTGCTGTTAGCATTGTACTTGTGGCGAGTTCATAGTGTCGGTACACATCTATGGGTGAGTGTGAACTTTAAATATTTTATTCATCCTTATCTACATTAGCCAACAATTATGGACACATACAAAACATTTACAACAAAACATTTGTAGAGACATGTCACAATGTCTGTTTACTGGTAGGATTAAATCATTCCTTTTTAATAAAGCTTATCGATCGAGTCCTCTGGTTATCCTGAGCTATCTCTACAGTTATGCTGCTATAGGCTTAGATTTCCGGAGGACATAGGGAACCCTTTTTCCATCATTCTATTTAATCTAACGTTCTGCTCTCTCTGCTTTTTCTCATAGTAGCTTCATCTGGTCTGTTCCTGTTTGGCTGTGACTCCATCCTGGAGAGAAATATCAGCTGTGCTGCTGCCATCAACACCTTTGTTTATAGATGTTGGAGATTGGCCTGTTTTTCAGTGTAGTCCTGTTTCTCTGACTGTGACTAACTGGATGTGCTCTCTTCATCCTCTGACATGGGAGCTGGCTCGGAGCTCGTCTACCTGGCTGTGTGTTACCTGGACGGGGCCGCCTGTGGAGCTGGTTGACAGTTGCCTTTTGTATCTACCGGTATGCTTCTTTTTCTGTCTGCTTCTGTCTTCTTGAACCCCAGTCAGCCTCAACTGAAATGAGTGTGTATTTTTTTTTTTTTTTACTTTTGGAGATTGGATCGTTATGCTTCCACTGGTTTAATGTAAATGCTTGTTTTTTTCTTCTTTTGCCTTGTTAAAGTTATTTTGATTTCCTGTATATAATTATTTTCTGTTTTTTTAGCAATAATGCAAAGTGGATATTCTTGTTTGAACTTGTAATTAGTGTCCTGATCAATAAAGCTAAAAATAGTATATGGGTGCGTGAATCTTTCAATAAAGTCACATGACTTATAAAAAAACTTGAACAACAACAAAAACTTCTGTGCTACCTACCAGGAGATCAACCTTTGACCTCAGTAACGTTTAAATGTTCTGCTCTTGGTCTAATGGATGAAAAGGTTGGGTTTGACTTTAATAAATGTCACCCAAAAGCAGGTCATTGGTCTGGAAACCTAGAATAATGGGATCATGAGAATGAGAGGGTCGATGGGAGAATCAATCATCCTCCAATCGGAGTAGCAGGACTTTGGAAGCAATGTAAACAATCAGAAGGTGAAAAAAAGTTTGTTTTGCTGTTTGCATCAAATTATTTGATGATGTCCTATCTGAGCTTCCGTACAGCCTATTGGGAAAGAATAAAACAATGAGTTCCTCATATTCCAGCTTTAGTTTTCTCTGCAGCAGCAGCTGTGTCTTCTCCTCTAACAGGATTAACAGCGCTGAGCTGAAGCTTTGCTAATCCTGTATTCAGCTGCGACAGAATGAAGCTTCCAGTCCTCCCAGCACCAGGGAGGAACTGGGAAACGGGGCTGGCTTCAACACTTCCCCGGCATGCAGACCACCGTCTCTGCTTACCTTGTACACGGGTCCTCTGTATATGACAAGCAAAAGGCCGTTTATAGCCGCTATGTGGACACAAATAGCAATTTTCCCGGGAGTCTCTGTCAGATAATCGAAGACCCAGTCCAGGTGTCCGAACCAGGTTCTGATGAGCGGGATGAGGACGACGCTGAGGCCTAAAATAAAGCTTTTTATACTCACTCTGCCTTCTAACACCAACTTACTGCCTGCCATGATGGAAGTACCGGGATGTGCTAATCCAAGTATCGCGAGCTTCTCGTAGGTTTTGACGTATGCTGCGTTCAAAGAGCCTCGGGAAACTCCGGAGATTTAAAAGGGGGGAGGGGATTCCATTATAGTCCCCAAGAGTTTGGAAAAACTGTTCCCTGGGTGTTCTGCCTTTTATGATAAGATCACAATTGAACACATTAGTCCCGAACTTTAAAGAGATCGGAGGGTTTCCTCCAGTCAACGTCCAGGGTGACACTTTCAGGTGTTTTATAGAAAATTCAGCCGTTTGAAGGTTTAAAGGCCATTTCAATGTTAAATAGCAGAGCTTCATCTGCATCCCTCTCACTTTACCTGCTGAAAAAAATAGGTAATATGATCTAAATCTTAAATTACAACACAGAACAAAACAAATTTAATGACATTTTTACAGATTCTTACAGGGGCACCAATGAAATCCGTCGGTTCTGTCTCAGCTAAGGTCCCATAGTCCACCATGGATGGTGAAGCTATTACCGTAGTTTAATTCCTGTTCTGCACTGATTGGTGGCTGAAATTATTGTAACCTATTCGGTACTGATCAACGGGAACATAAACAAGCACAAACAGCCTAGTTTCCCAAATAAAGACAGGCAAGATTTTGCTTAATAAATACAAAATAAATATATTTATTGCTAATAAATATAAACAAATGTTTAAACATCAGTGCTGTCTGTGGTTCATGGATCATCTTATCTACTGGTTTTCAACCATGTCAGTAACATTGAACATGTTCATCTAACACCAATAACAGGGGCCTGTTCACACTCACTTCTAGTGTTTATGCCTCCAGTTAGCTTTGGTTTCAGCCATTCATCATAGCTCCTCTTCAGGACGTCTTAATAGGAACTGTTTTTAATCTAGAAACAGTTTCTCTATTATCTTTGAAAATTGTGGAAGCCATTCAAAGTGGAACATTGCGAAATCAGTTTTATTTTCAACAATATTTTTGTTTGCTGTGGTTAATGTGGAGGAAACGATTTACCTTTGTTGACCCCTAGAAACTTTCATTAATATCTCTAAAATGACAGCAGCACAAAGGAAGATTTTTGCCGCTCAGATTTGATTTGAAGGATTTGTGTCTGCTTAATATTTCTACATTGTTTTGACCATATTTAAGATCCCTGTCCTGCAGAAAGACCATTTTCTGTTGGAAATAATCACATTTCTACCTTTAACCCTTTGATCCTCCTTCAAAACCTTTTGAAGGCATTGTGCTCCTACATGGGCATTTGTAGAAGATTGTTGTTATTGATACTTTGATCCCAAGTCTTCCACACTTTTTCCCTCTATATTTTGATTTACACAGAAAATTAAGAAAAAATAAATTTCCATTTTCCTTATACAATATCGATACACTGGGCCCTGTACAAAAAGATTTAAGTATGTTAAGCATTATATAAGTGCTGAGCATAGGCAGAAACAACAGAAAAGAAAGAAAAATCAGTAGTTATATTCCATAAAAGCATTTCATGGCTTTATTTGAAGACAGATCAGACATACATTTCATATATACATTTATTTAAAACATCTTACAGATGTTTCATATCTGAAACAGTTTGGTTAAGCGGTTCTTATGTGTTGGAAGTTCACTTTTTAAAAAGAAAAGTTTAAAATCATAATCAGAGTTTTTGTTGAGACAGCAGACAAAAACTGGGAGAGAAAAATATGAGCTGCTGTTTTGTAACATCTCTGTTATTAACAGAAGTTCCAACTGGTTGGTGGAGAAACCTGATTGGATCATCACACACGAAAACAGCCAGGAGGGAAGCCCTCCACATGTCAGCCCCGGAGCTCCAGATTAATGGGAATCCTATTTTAGGAAACGTTTGCTGAAAGACGCTCCAAGTTTCAGGGTTGTCCACTGTAAAGTTCAGAGGGTTTCCTCTTTTTAATCAGGCAGATAACATGAAAACCTTCATATTCTTTTCTTTCCCTCACAGAGGAAGACTCAGCCTGACTGGTGCTGAAGAGCATGACTAAAAAAAGGAACGTTTATCTCAAAGAAAATTAAAAATGAAAACTGACTATTTTCTTTCGCAGCTGGAGAAAAAACTGGAAATCTTGCTTTGGGTCTTGAGAGGAGACGACGGAAGAGCTGAAAAAACAAAAAAACAAAAAAAACCCATAAGATGGAGAACACTCAGCTGCCAGCTGGAGCTCCGATGGAGAAAGTGAAACCTGAGCCCAGATTACAGCAAGACAAACATGTTCCTCTGAGAAACAGAACACCACTGACTGGTCCTGACCTGGCCTCTGCTGCTCCTCGCTGAGAGTCGGACTATCGGTGGCAGAATTTGGCTGACCCATCAGAGCGTCCAACATCTCTCTGTAGTTCTTCTTATGATGAGGCCGAACAAACACGCTGAACCCTTTAAAAGCAACACAGAACATCCTGGTTCAGAGCTCAAACCTTCACAAAACAGGAGCTCTGGGCTGGAAGCAGGGGAACATACTGATGAGGAAGTTGAAGTTCTCCTCCCTCTCTGTGAACAGGCTGGCCACCGTCGCCACCAAGTCGTTGTAGTTGTCCGTCTTCTTGTAGCTGCGGATGGCCTGGAAGAGCTGAGCCGACTTCTCAGCCCCCAGAGCTTTCTTCACATCGGCCAGGAAAGCTGTGTGGACTTCATTCTTTGGATCAGAACCTGGTTAGAAGAACTTTAAGTGAGCGCTGGGGGGGTCCTCTGGGGGCTTTTTCAGATAAACGTCTCCTACCTGCAGGAGCTGCTTTCAATCCCTGCTGGCTCAGGTGGCGTCCTCCCTGATTGAGCTGCTGCGTGTCGAGCTGACAGAGGCTCAGAGGCCCGGCCGCCTGCCGCTCTTCAGCTGGAAGGAAAACAAATTGGACTGAGTGATAATAACGTCAGGAAATCTGCCCCTTTTAGTGATATTCAGAATCAAATACTATCTGGTTTAGTTTCACTGATTAGGATGTAAAATCTGTTGGGCTCTTTTTGGCATCAAGGCAATTATTCTTATTGCCACATCGCCAGACAGGACACTGTTAAAAAAAATATATAATAATTTTGGTAATATAGAACTAACCAAATGCCTAATTAAGTTGTTTGGGGGTTCTGTTCCTATCTGGCTTTCTGATAGTTATGTGGTTCTGCCAGTAGATGGCGCCACATCTGCTCATTGTGCCTGGTGCTGGAATTCTATTTACACTAAAACAGGACTATTAAAACACAATCAGGATGGATGCAAGGCGAATATAACCTTATTTTAACGAGATCAAATGTTATTTGGTATTTTTTTTTTTTTTTTTTGTACAGGATTATAGCATGATTTTGGCCCTTTAAGAAGAAAACAGACAACTGATACGGAGCCTCCTTCCGCCAAGCACACATTGATTAAAACTCTGGGCTAAGTACTTGCTTAAGTGTTCACCAGCACAAACACAAGGCAGAAAATGCAAAACTTCAGGATGCAGGATCATCATAGAAGAGAACAATCTGGACATCCTAACAGGGCATTATAATTTCAGCCCCTGGCTGCTGTTAAATGGCAGCAGGATGTTGCAGTTTCATACAGAGTTCAAATTCAGCAGCTGCGTCCTCTGAAGGCCAGATTCGTCAGCCGATTACATCATAGTGCGGCGACGTGGCCTGTTCGGATTGGAAGACTCCTCATTCATTTTTCCCGTTTTGAAGGACATGTCCGGTGATTCCTATAGCCCTGGATATCCCAGGATTCATTGCGAGTCCAAGCCAGCTGGTTGCTTCTTGCTCAGAGGAAAAAGGGAGATGGCTGAACAGTGGTGAATATTGTCAGTGCAGTTTAATATAATACAAGTATGTGAATAGTTTCATCTGAAATGAATGAAAATAGTTGTTTTAAATGGGTATTGAGTCAGATATGTGGCGGTAATGTTTGGTTTTATTGAAAGGTTTTATCTGTCGCTGTGTAAATGACATTAAAGCTCAGATTCCAATATTTCTGCAGTAAGGGGACTATAAATCTGATATCTGAGTCGACGGTACTGCTGCTGAAGCTCCTCGACAATGTTATTAGTCCCCAGAACAGTAGTGATGAGTTCATCATCCAGTCTTTGTCTCCTTTGTGTGTCAACTGTCACTGTTGCTACGTGACAGAGTGTACGGGCGGTGAAAGCCGGAGAAGGCTGGACCTGTTTGAATCCATAGCCGGACTCTTCCAGTCCAGGAAGACCGGGTTCTTGGAGGACGCAGCCACTAAAATCCAACACTTTATAAGTCTTAACTTGTCTCAGCAAAGGATAACATGAAGAAAATACTTATTAATTTTAAATACAGATTCAGCATCATAGTTGGATTTTATTTGGTGCCAATCTTAAATGGTTGGAAATGAGGTGAGGAAAACTTTTTACTAATTTGTTGGTTTCTGGATCAGGGTGTCCTACCGCTCTGCAGGATGGCCGCTTTCTTCTCATCCTTCGACAGCGAGTGCTCCGGTTTGTATCCGCAGCCCTGCCCGGTCAGCTCCTGGCACTTCTCATCAAATGATTTTTTATGATGCGGTCGAACAAACTGGTAGAAACCTGAGAGAGAAAAGCAGGGAGAGAGATTTAGAGACTGAAATCCTCCATGTGAGCGACCCTGAGTCATGTTAGCTGTACATAAACACACCTCGCAGCAGGCTGTGAGTGTTGGGGTCCTCTGCTAAAACAGCCGTCTCAGTCAGCAGGATGTCCAGGTCGTCCGTCTTCTTGTAAGTTTGCAGAGCCTCAACGATGCGGTCAAAGCTCACCTTGCTCAGAGTCTTCTTCATGTCTGCCAGGAACTGTTTGGCCTTGCCGGCTTTACACTCCTCTGGCACATCCTCAGAGACGCTGACTTTCTTTAGGAACAAGTTAGAACAAGAGACGGATCACACCATAATGAGAAAACAGATTTATGGAAACTGACCAATAAAAATATGTAGAAATAATCCATTTGACTAAACTCTAATCTAAGCCGTCCTAAAAAAAAACGAAACAAAAAAATCAAGACACCAAAACTGAAAACTTCTTGTTTTATTCACGTC